CATATGTTATGTGGATGGTATGTGTATGCCTGAGGGTGAGTATAGGTATGTGTAATGTAGGCTTGTGTTTGCATGTGAATGGGAATGCATGTGTTTGTGCGTAAATGAGCATATATGTGTATGTGTAAGTGGAAGTGAGTATATCTGTGTAAGTGTAAGTGTACATGTCTGTGTATGTGTAAGTGTGTGTCAGTGCGTATAGACATGCGTTTGTCTCTTTGTATGCGTATGTTTACGTCAATGCGTATGGGTATGTACGTATATTGCATGATGTATACGCGTATACGAATTCGAATGCCTACATATATGTGGAAAAAATTAAATAGTTTAACCCCAGCTTGTGCACTCAGTTTCACAGTCAAATATCCGGACATGAAACAATCAGTAAATCAATACATACAGACAACGTTTATCTCCTAAACAAACAAAGCTTCCAAAACGGATAAGATATAAACCTAGTAACCGTTGAATTCTTTCACAGAGAGAATCTTGCACACACCTTGCATTTAGATTTGTGATTAAAAGGTATCGTTTTGTCAGCCACAGCGGGACAACTTCATTCAACTCCGCACAGCTGGACCAGTTTACCGCCTATAAGGGATGACCCCGATGATCTGAAGGCACACCTTAAGCTTTTGAGTATTACCTGATGATCTTTACAATCTGCCGATATTATACGTCTGTCATGGCCACCAGTAGCCTCCCCATGAATGTTGTGATTATGTTGTTCCTTGTTGTGTCATATTTTGTAGATTTTCAGTAATTGTGGATTTGTAAATGATCGCTAAATTAAGAAAACTGGAAAAAAAACCTTTTGTGATCTTCCCCTACATTAACGAACACGTTTGGGACAACGTGTTCTGGCGTTTTTCCCGACCGGTTTTATTGGTATTTAGGTTAAAAATAATGAATTAGTAGTTCATCTTAAACATCAAATCCATTCTTAATGTTATTAAGTCATATCTTAAATGTTTAATCTTTAAATTGCTCAATCACACAATTAAACGAATACCTCACCTGCAAAACGTCTATGAGGCTAAAAATAATGGACACACGTTTTTCAATTTCCTCCCGAAACAAAACGTCCATTCTATCACGCATACATTTTATACATCTTTCATGACCATGTTTATCAGTTGTCCTGTGTTCTGACAGACGTGACGATCCTTTCACTCTGACTTCGAAACTGAGGGAAGTTGATACCGATTTCTATTAGGCAACCGAGAGGGGTATCATCTATCACGTCCCGTCACCTGACATCGATTACTATGAATCAGCTCTCATAACCTGGAATCAGAAATATTCTCCTTTGCTAGGTAAATATGCTGTCCTTATCAGAATATCCGGAAATTATCAGAATGTATTGACCCAGGTGATTTTTTTCTGATTCTTTGATTGCTTAATGATTGCTTCTTCCGGTTATTCGGAGAGAATATTGATAGTGTGTGTCAATTAATGGCCTTGATTGAGGTTGGACCCTTCCTGTGTAACTTAATCATCCTCATTAATGACAGGCATCCTGGAATCTATACTCCCGTCATTGTCGGGAACTGACATCGAGTAGACTATCGAAGCATTGTAAGCATATTAACAAAATTAATCCAAATACTCACTTCACAGTGGCATTTGCATTTAAGTTTGTACTTCAGCAAACAGTCAATCACTAAAAGCATAGTACGGTTTTTTTGGGGTGATTCTCATGGCCCATTTCGAAAATGTACTCAATTATCGTATTGCTTCCGTTGGTAATCGGGCGTTTTATCACCTTTTCTTCTACTGGATTGTCTGGTCCAGACTCGATTATTTACAGACCGCCGACATATAGCTAGAATATTGCTGAGTGCGGCGTAAAATTAAATTCGCACTCTTTCACATGCAAATATGACTTCCCAAACGCCACCAAGTCCAGATATACATATCGCCATACACTTTCCATTATTAAGTAAACAGCAGTAATTCTTTTAGGTAAGATTGGATTTACATTTGAACATTACTTACTTATTCAGCGTTCCTCACCACTTCCGGGTTTAGATCCGTCTGCGGTCAGCTGTTGCGGTTTTATTTCTCACCACCTACTACACAGAAACAGGATGTCGGAATATTCTGGAATCAGACCAGATAGGTATCAGGAAGTGCACAGGGACACATAATTTAAGAAAAAGAATGATTCGGTACACAGTTATCAGAAAAACAAATTGTGGCCATCCAGTAGTACCTACAATAATTGTGGCGCTAACGTCGTGATGGGGGATGGGTATCATGTCTAATAACATATGCCCTTCACTAGAGGAGTGGGGTAGGCTAGTGGTTAAAGGTTGGACCAAAGGAGCAGGCTCGATTCCGTTTCTGATGTTGCAAGCCGTGATACTGCTGGAATATCTTTGCTATAAGTGGCGTAAAAACAACTCACTTGTTCACTCATGTATTGAAGTATTAAAGCGTCATATGAACACAGAATACGGATCTTTCTTCCATGATAAACAGTAGAATAGGTCTTCATCAACCAATGCCCGTCAGAAAAGGCGATATGGCTCGCCAATTTATTGACGCTTGTCCCAAACCAATATTTATCATCTAATGGAGGGTGATATCGGTGCAATAAAGCAATTTGATAAACTTGGTATCCAAATCTGATAACTATGCAAATTACGTCAATCCATGAACTACTTTCACAAAACTCCATACACGCCGTGCGAATCCTAAAACGTTAACATTTTGTATTATGAAAGGCTCGCATAATACAATTTTTATTCCTAATATATGATATTAATGATACGGAAACACACTCGGTTAATAATCTCTATTTACAGACCGCCGTCATATATTTCGAATATTACTGAGAGCGGCTTTTAAACATCATAAGAGTGAATACACCGGATCTCTCATCGAAAGAAATAACGGTGGGTGGGTCTTCAGCAACAGCATACACACGTGATCCTTGAATAAAAGGTTCAAAGTTTATTGAGTAATATTTTCATTTATGAAAATTGGAAACAAAATCAGTCGTTTGTTCAAAGGAGAATGCACTCTTGCTGTCATGCATGTAGCTATTAATGTACTTGTGTGCAGTGCTGATTCTTGCTGCTGCTCAATTACATTGGGCAGATGTATAGAAGCATTCCATATCCCCGTAGGCTTCACGGGTCCTCTAATGTGTTCATCGATGGGCCATTAGTGGTAACCGTGACAACATTAAAATAATATTTGTTCAAAGAGTTAATTTCCACTCATTTCCTTACAGAAACCTGATTGATTTGATTTCAGACATGTGTGTTTGACTTTCTAAGCGAGGCCGGTGTCTGACCTGAGCGCTTTTGTGGACGGTGCCGTACCGATATTCGTGCTGAAGAAATTCAGGTCCAAATTAAAGGACTGCTTCGGTTTCAGACCATTTTCTTCCAACGGACAGTCATAATAACACGAGTCCAGTTTTCATCACGGACGGAGTATGGGTGAAAGACAAGAAGTCGACTTTGACGAGGAAAGCAAAACGGTGCTTCAATACTTGAATAGAACAACGGAAATTAATGGAAACAGAGGTTGGAATATTCCTGTTGTTGTACTGACCCAAATCAGCCATTCCAAACTTGAGCTTTTTACCACATTTAACAATGCATTTCAAGACGTTAGATATCATTGGTTATATAAGGATTTATTAAAACTGGTGATAAATAGAATTAATATTAAGCATACGATTAATACAAAGCCATTGAGGTCGCAGGGTATCTCTTAAAAAAATACTGTTCGATGAATATGTCTCCTTTTATCGTTGTAAACACGTCTGGTCTCTCATCATGGCGCCTGGATGACTGATGCAGAACGCAAACGTCTACTTCTGTAGGACCCGTGAAGGTCCGGGTTAGAATTGATCTTCAGTAACCCTTGCTTGTCGTAAGAGGCGACCAACGGGATCGGGTGGTCAGGCTCGCTGACTTGGTTGACAAATGTCATCGGTTCCCAATTGCGTAGATCGATGTCCATGCTGTTGATCACTGGATTGTCTGGTCCAGACTCGATTATTTACAGACCGCCACCATATAGCTGGAATATTGCTGAGTGCGGCGTAAAACTAAACTCACTCACTCACTCTACTTCTGTAGACAAGGCAGTGTTTTCCTGATATCAAAACCCCAGTATTTAAATGATTCATTCAATGTCAAAAATAAGTGTCGCTTTTACAACTAAATATTCAAGTTCAATGTTTTTCAACATCAGTGTCGATTTATTTAAATTAAGTAACAGTGTCATCGTTCTTATACGATTACATTAGGATTGGTCAACATAAGACAACATCTTACATCTTTGGCGTGCCGTACTACTTCCGGGTTGTGATCAGCGTCCTGTCAGCTGTTCCAGAATATCTGCCAATGACAAATACGTAGAATCAGGATGTCCTGGCTTGTATGCCAGATACCTATCGTGTTGTGCACGGGCAAAAGTAATTTGTATTTTATCTAAAAGTCTGTTTACGGCACTCTGAGTAATTTCCAAGCTCTATCGTTGTATCCAATATTTATTGTGCACTCATATAGCGTCAATGCATACGGCGTGTATCTGCGCGCATCCACCAGTCCGGATGTACTCGAAGATCAACATGAATACTCCTCAAACACGGACTCTGAACCAGGCAGTTCTTGTTTCGTCCTCTTAATGCCGAGCCCCACACAGGGACACAAAAAGTACCGTCTTATAACGTGGCTTCGTATTACGTGTGTGCGTGTACGGGAGTGCAATAATCTGGACAAATACCAGTTGCAATGCTTGCACTTCCACATGTACACAAGTATAGTATACTGACTACATTATGACTGACCGTCTTTGTATGTATACTAGTCCTTGTCTTATCCCCGTAATACTCCGTGTCGGACGTATTTTAGAATGGCATTGGTCTGGGTCGAAGTGCCGACCTTGAACTGGCCTGGCAAACCGTCTATCACTGCTCCAGAGGTTGATAAGAGTGAGTGTGTGAGCGAGTGAGGTTGAAGGCTGTCTTACGTTTCACAGAGCGATGGTAGCGCTACGGCTGTTGTAAGTCTACGTTACAGTATGGGCGCTACGATCATCTTAGCGCTACGATCGCTTTGTGGAACGGTTCCCAGGTCAATTCACGGGAGGTGAGTATAGGGTGAGGCGTCATGAACGAAAGACACCGCGAAAGAGGGGTCGCCACGATTTATCACAACTTAGATAGGTTGGATGGCATGAAAAACTGAATGAGTTTTCATTCAAATGGTGATGTTTTATAATCTGGACATTATTTAAGGACTGGTCACTTATAATTTGTGACCTCTCTGTTTGCGTGAGTGACGATTTACACAGTATTCCGACATCCACATTTCGAGTCAACACTGAGGCAACAACACATCGTACCAGGTAATTATACGTCCGCTTCCAGAATCATTCCTTGGAGGAATTGGTCTGAAATACCAGGATTAGTGTGTTCGAAATACTCTCAACGGATGGCAAACAAGAAAGGAGGTAGACGTGGTTAACGTTAAAACAGTATTTCTGTTACATTCCAGCGTGTCAGCTTTATGGAATGAAAGCCCTTAAAAATGCAGATATGGTGCTGACAAATGTTTGAACTCTCAACCAACAGCTTGAGTTGTTTTAACGCTTTCCTCAACAAGTATACATGATGCAAGTCTCAGATATACTACAAACAAAAGTATGGGAACACATTAAAATTTGATAGTCATATATAAACTTAAACGTGGTGAGGTCATTTATACTCTAACGTAAATGCAACTTTTTGTGTGCAACGCATATTGAATCAGATGCTTCACTGCAAGTTCTAACATGTCGTTCAAAGTGCCCATTAAGCACACAAAAAGTTGCATTTACGTATAAATGGCCTCAACACGTTTAAGTAACAGTAACCACGAATGTAACAGAAATACTTTTTGTTTGTAGTATATTTACCACTTTAGTGAAACTCAAGCACAGACATTGAGTTGGACACACCTACTTACATGACCGCGGAGAATAGGACCAGGTACCCCCCTCCATCATGATCATAGGTTTCTGGTGTTCTGTGTGGGATACACATCTCCACACAGACAGCAGCGCCTAACGACTGGGGCACTCTGCCTAATGAAAGGGGCAGTCGACCTTTCGGCAACGTAAACATTAACTTTGTAAGATTTAATGCGGTGCTTGCTGATTGAGTATGGTTTCATACTTTCAGCTTTAACAATATTCGAACAATATCACATAAATGGGCTTCATACTTTCTTGGGTCTCGAAACCGCTATTCCCCTAGACAAGCCACCGCTTTAAGTAGGTTATCCCACTGCCGCGAATCCTCGATTATCTCCGTTCCAAAAGTGGAGATTTATCGGGACGTATACCCTGGAGATTATCGAGGATGAATGCCACGCTTCTCCCTGAAACTAATTGTTCAAAACAGAAAGGGAATATTTTTATTATTTTATTTATGTATTTTAATCCTCCAGCACCAAACTTTCTTGCAAGATTTACCTGTGAAGATCCTGGTTAGAATTGATCTTCAGTAACCCATGCTTATCGTAGGAGGCAACTAACGGGATTGGGTGGTCAGGCTCGATGACTGTTGACACATGTCATCGGTTCCCAATTGCGCAGATCGATGTTCATGATGCTGATCACTGGATTGTCTGGTCCAGACTCGATTATTTACAGACCGTCGTCATATAGCTGGAATATTGCTGAGTGCGGCGTAAAACTAAACTCACTCACTTCTTGCAAGATTCACCCTACAATGTTAAGATAACCTGCAAATCACAGGATAAAATGTTTGTGAGCTTGTATATCTATATCATAAACAAACACACCACTAACAACAAATACATTTAAAAAGTCACATATTGAGCATTGTCGCGATAAAATATCAACATGTTGGATGGCCAATATTCAACAATTGTTGTTCCAAACACATCATGTTGAAGCTTAACCCGGCACCCCTCTATCCAATAATGTCCAAGGTAAATACATATCCCAGATACATCCTACTCGTTCCAGTAATCTCGCGTCTCTTATGTTAATAAGGAGTATTGACTCTGACAGAGGATACGCCAGGCACACACAGAACCAGGCTGTGTCTACTGGAACTTGGTAATACTGTTACTGACACCAGCTGCTGCGAGGCATTAAGGAATCCTATGCCAAAGTCAATACCGCAGCTTCAAACCATCATGGACCAGACGTTCAGTTGCACTTAGGCCTGAAAGCATAAGGGTCAAGATGTGAGCTTTAGCACGTGTGTACTATGGCTTATTTCACTTAGGTATTCTTACAGTGTGATCTTGCCGGACCTGGGAGATAAAGGAGTTGAACTGATCAAATTTACCATTAATTTGTGTGGAAGTGAAGTGATGGGTGCATGTTTATTCCGTCAGCAATATACCATCTACATCAGTAAACCGGTGTGCTTGCCAGCCACAGGTCACAAATCAGATGAGTTGGTCTCAGGGCAGCTCAACTCCTGATAGTTTCATGGGCATGGGTACTGACCCACACTTAAGCATATGCAGCAAATGATTCCAAGAACTGAACACATCACCTGGGATTCCCAGTTATGGAACTCTCTGCCATCTGAATTACGAAACTCCAAATCCAAAGACCCTTTCAAGTCTCCTTAAAACCCAACTCTTCCGCTCATCATTCCACTAGACTTTCAGGATTTTGATTATATCCTAAGCAGCAAAAGAAACGTCAGTTTGGAATTTTCCTTCGCAGAAACGGATAACTGTAAACTCATTTAATGTTTTGATTGTATATTTTTGACATCCCCAACTTGACCTGAGCAAAGACATTCCTTCCCAAACTAAGAATTGAAGCCAGGAAATGGTCTCAAAAACGCAACCTGACCTCGGAGATGGTACGGTGTTCTCCATGGTTTTCATGCAATTCATGTTACACGTGCTCTTCACAAGGACCAGCCCTATAAAATGCACCCCCAAACCTGGTTGAAACATTCACATTACAACGTCAGCAGGATGCCGCGACTCACGACAGCTCAGAGGAACCAGGCGCTAGGAAGACTTGAAGCTGGCCACACTGCACAAGCCGTTGCCAATCACTTCCAGGTCAACGTTTCAGACCATCTACAGGCTGCAGCAACGTTTCCGGGCCACCAACCCCACAAATGATCACCCCCGTACTGGCAGACCAAGGATGACCACAAGACAAGACCGCCATGTTGTGAGACAGCATGTACAGAATCCCTTCATGCAGGCATCCGAAACAGCACTCCAGACAGTGGGAACACACGGAACAAGTCCAGTCAGTACTGATACAGTATGCCGACGTCTTAACAGCGGGAGCGTCCATTGCCGTAGACCTTACCGTGGACCTATCATCACCCCTCGTCGTCAGCGTGAACGTCTACAGTTTGCCCTACACTACCAAAACTGGCGATACAGGCAATGGAGAACTGTTCTGTTCACAGATAAGAGTCAGTACTGCGTACCAACTGCAGTTGACAGAACAAGAATATGGCAACGACGTGGCCAACGTTACTCAGACCAATGTGTTATGGAAAGAGACTCATGGGGAGGTGCAAGCATCATGGTATGGGGTGGAATAGGCCTGTAACCAGAGAGTGGATCCTTTGGTGTTCCAGAACCTTAGTCCAGGGAGAGGAGGCGGCATCACAGCAGTGCGCTACATCGACCAAGCATTCAGACCCCACGTCATACCACATTTTGCACGTCACTGGAACATTTTCCAGCATGATAACGCCCGGGCCCTACAGCAGAATGGTGTCAACATTATGCAGTGGCCAGCCCTTAGTCCTGATTTAACCCCAACTGAACATCTTGGGGATGAAATTCAGGGGAGACTGAATAATGTCATACCAAGACCGAAGACAGCCGATTTATGGCGCCAGGCCTTCCTCAGAGTGTGGTTCCAGGTGCCAATGGCCTTCATCAATCGATTGGTGCACTCTATGCATAGACGCTGTGCTGCAGTTATTGCCGTTCGTGGTGGTCACACTAGATACTGAAGTCAAAGAGTCTGAATGGACTGCAAACGTTCACGTAATGTCTTGAAATTGTGATGAGTTATGCATTTATGTGTCAACATATTGTACACATAAAATGTTTTTGATCCGCTTATTATGTCCATTTCTGTAATGATTTTATTACAGTGCCTATCTAATTTTGAATTCGTACTGACGTTTCTTTTGCTGCTGAGTATATTTGGATGGATTTGGTTTTGACTTTGTCACAGTGCCAGTGAGCACCTTATGACGTATACTAGGCCCTTTAGAAATCAATTATCAGTATTATATCCTTTGTGTGATAGACAACTGTGTTCACCCAGCAGTGAATGGGTACCAAGTAGGGACTGTTAACCTTCCTATGTCTAATGAACAATTTGGATTGTACATACCCCATGGAGCTAAGAAAGAAATCAAGCATGATTTAGTACTTGGATTTGGGGCATTATGTATATATGCATAATATGTATTATTATTTACAGATACAGATGAGATGGGGTAGCCCGGTGGTTAAAAGCGTTCGATGACCCAGGTTCGATTTCCCACATGGGTACAATGTGTTAAACCCATTTCTGGTGTCCCCAACCATGATATTGCTGGAATATTGCTAAAAGTGGCGTAAAACTAAACTCACTCACTATTTACAGATAAAAATAATATATGCAGCAAAGAGGGTTCGGGTGATCCTGACAAATTGAGGCTGGTTAGGCTTGTCTTCAGATCTGGGCACCAGCCCACTCTACACACAGCCCAGACATTGAATGGGACTTTTCCCAGGACGTGCTGCCTTGTTGAACTCACCACAGAGAATGAGGAGACTGCACAACACTGCTGCCTACTGGATTACCCAGAGTGTCATCAGGTCTGTGATCCTGGCAGCAAATATGGGTACTGGTCCTAAGGCACCCAGAACAATGGGAAATCAGACAACTTGGTACTTTGGATACAAGCATGACATTTTGCAGGATTTTACATAACGCATGATTACTGCGTATTTGACGCAACAATTTTGTAAAAGATTTGACTTTGACAGAGCTATTAAATTGTTCCAAAGAACTCAGAGGAGACAGTAACCCTTGCTACTGGCTCGGGTGACACTGCTACAAAAAGACGTACATCAGACTGTATTACCTCGAGAGAAGCATATAACCTATATTACTAACTAGTTATATAAATGACAATACAACATAAAACAATGAAATATTTGCCAAACTCTTGCTTTTTGATTTATAAACACAACTAAATATTAAATCTTCATGACTCCCAAATATTGAAAATGACTCCCAAAAGTAGACATTGAGTCACCATGACTCCCATTTTTCAAAGTCTGTGTAAAACTCTGATTTTGTAAGCAAGGTCACCATTTTGCCCTTAATTTCCAGGATCTTGTCACAGTACTGTCAAAAGGGACAGAGAATTCAATGATGTTAATCATTTCACTTGGTTTGTTGGCCTGGAAACATAAAAGGAGCCACTGTAATTGAGCCTATACAAGAGAGACAACTGCAGGGTTTTTTAACGACAGTGTGTACATATTCTGAGTCATACCATCCACTGATGAGGTGCTGGACAGTTATCATAGTCACTGCAAAATCTACATTCAATATTTGCATTTTGATGCAAAATCACGTATTTGACGGTTTTGAGTGGTAAGAGACATTGCCATAGCACAGTCTATCACCTCAAACATCCATATATGCTTGTAACACTGCCATACATCGCTGGTCAATACATCATGGAATAACACTGTTATTCAATGCTGGTCAATACATCAGGTGTTGGCAGAGTCTATTACCTCAAACATCCATATGTGCTTGTAACACTGCCATACATCGCTGGTCAATACATCATGGAATAACACTGTTATTCAATGCTGGTCAATACATCAGGTGTTGGCAGAGTCTATCACCTCAAACATCCATATGTGCTTGTAACACTGCCATACATCGCTGGTCAATACATCATGGAATAACACTGTTATTCAATGCTGGTCAATACATCAGGTGTTGGCAGAGTCTATCACCTCAAACATCCATATATGCTTGTAACACTGCCATACATGGCTGGTCAATACATCATGGAATAACACTGTTATTCAATGCTGGTCAATACATCAGGTGTTGGCAGAGTCTATCCACCTCAAACATCCATATGTGCTTGTAACACTGCCATACATCGCTGGTCAATACATCATGGAATAACACTGTTATTCAATGCTGGTCAATACATCAGGTGTTGGCAGAGTCTATCACCTCAAACATCCATATGTGCTTGTAACACTGCCATACATCGCTGGTCAATACATCATGGAATAACACTGTTATTCAATGCTGGTCAATACATCAGGTGTTGGCAGAGTCTATCACCTCAAACATCCATATATGCTTGTAACACTGCCATACATCGCTGGTCAATACATCATGGAATAACACTGTTATTCAATGCTGGTCAATACATCAGGTGTTGGCAGAGTCTATCACCTCAAACATCCATATGTGCTTGTAACACTGCCATACATCGCTGGTCAATACATCATGGAATAACACTGTTATTCAATGCTGGTCAATACATCAGGTGTTGGCAGAGTCTATCTCCTCAAACATCCATATATGCTTGTAACACTGCCATACATCGCTGGTCAATACATCATGGAATAACAGTTATTCAATGCTGGTCAATACATCAGGTGTTGGCAGAGTCTATCACCTCCAACATCCATATATGCTTGTAACACTGCCATACATCGCTGGTCAATACATCATGGAATAACACTGTTATTCAATGCTGGTCAATACATCAGGTGTTGGCAGAGTCTATCACCTCAAACATCCATATGTGCTTGTAACACTGCCATACATCGCTGGTCAATACATCATGGAATAACACTGTTATTCAATGCTGGTCAATACATCAGGTGTTGGCAGAGTCTATCACCTCAAACATCCATATGTGCTTGTAACACTGTCATACAATACTGGTCAATACATCATGGAATAACACTGTTATTCAATGCTGGTCAATACATCAGGTGTTGGCAGAGTCTATCACCTCCAACATCCACATGTGCTTGTAACACTGTCATACAATACTGGTCAATACATCATGGAATAACACTGTTATTCAATGCTGGTCAATACATCAGGTGTTGGCATAGTCTATCACCTCCAACATCCACATGTGCTTGTAACACTGTCATACATCACCGGTCAATACATCAGGTATCACCACAGTCTATCACCTCCAACATCCACATGTGTTTGTAACACTGTCATACATCACCAATCAATACATTAGATGTTGGCATAGTCTATCACCTCCAACATCCACATGTGCTTGTAACACTGTCGTACATCCCCGGTCAATACATCAAGTCTAAGCACAGTCTATCACCTTCAACATTCACATGTGCTTGTAACACTGTCATACATCACCAATCAATACATTAGATGTTGGCATAGTCTATCACCTCCAACATCCACATGTGCTTGTAACACTGTCGTACATCCCCGGTCAATACATCAAGTGTAAGCACAGTCTATCACCTCCAACATCCACATGTGTTTGTAACACTGTCATACATCACCAATCAATACATTAGATGTTGGCATAGTCTATCACCTCCAACATCCACATGTGCTTGTAACACTGTCATACATCACCGGTCAATACATCAGGTATCACCACAGTCTATCACCTCCAACATCCACATGTGTTTGTAACACTGTCATACATCACCAATCAATACATTAGATGTTGGCATAGTCTATCACCTCCAACATCCACATGTGCTTGTAACACTGTCGTACATCCCCGGTCAATACATCAAGTCTAAGCACAGTCTATCACCTCCAACATCCACATGTGTTTGTAACACTGTCATACATCACCAATCAATACATTAGATGTTGGCATAGTCTATCACCTCCAACATCCACATGTGCTTGTAACACTGTCGTACATCCCCGGTCAATACATCAAGTCTAAGCACAGTCTATCACCTTCAACATTCACATGTGCTTGTAACACTGTCATACATCACCGGTCAATACATTAGATGTTGGCATAGTCTATCACCTCCAACCCAACATCCACATGTGCTTGTAACACTGTCGTACATCCCCGGTCAATACATCAAGTCTAAGCACAGTCTATCACCTCCAACATCCACATGTGCTTGTAACACTGTCATACATCGCTGGTCAATACATCAGGTGTCAGCACAGTCTATCACCTCCAACATCCACATGCTTTCTGCTATCATACATCCACTGAGGTCTTGTATCTTTATACCACGAATAGTAGGCTCTGGGCCACCAGCTGTCATCACTCCTATCACCATCGCATATTGACCTGAAAGCACAGACAAATGACTTTAGATCACAATATGTAGCGACGTACATCCACGTCAGGGGTGGAAATAACTTTAAAATTGCTAGTGTACTCCGGTACAGTGGCATATGTAAAATCACTTGCCCTGATAATTTTTCCACTATACCGGCCGTTTTCTTGTTCATTTTTTAAATAAACAACATAAGTAACATTGGAACATCAACTGGACACTGGTACAGTGTGATATACAAATTTGCTTGCCCGACAGAAAAAAACACTGGACTCAGGCGTCGGGCAATGGGTTATTTCCACCCCTGCACATACTTGCAAGTTCAGTTTGTAACATCTCTATTCTATTGTGAACAATACAGGACCCATTTAATACCATAGAGTTCTTAGAGCTTGACGATAACATTAAACGATACCAATCCAAAATGTCATCAGGGTTCGAAATACCCCATATATTAGTGTGCCATGACACGGAAAATATTGAAATAGCACGGTTAAAAAATGTTCTCGGTGCCCTTTTGACACGCCTATGTTTTTAGAGACATAACTCACATTTAGTCATTTAATCCCCAAAACAACTATTTTTGTCCAAATTGAATAATACCATACAAATTTGAATGCTCATAAACCCATTTCTTTATTTCACAATAAATTTCAAATGATCATCATCGTTGTCATTTATTCTAAAAACATGTGGGCACACTTGATTTCTGAAAGGCACACCTAAAATATTTGTCTGGTGCCCTAAGGCACACTTAGAAACAAAGTATTTCTATCCCTGGTCATGAACAGTAGTACATGATAGAAATTCTATGTCAGAGATTGGGGTTGTGGAGTGATAACAGCACTTTCAATGCAAAGCTTGGTGGCAAATATGGCCAGGGTTTCTTATCACCATTGCATGAGTGTGTGAGTGAGTTTAGTTTAACGCTGCACTCAGCAATATTCCAGCTATATGGCGGTGGTCTGTAAATAATAGAGTCTGGACCAGACAATCCAGTGATCAACAGCATGAGCATCGATCTGCGTAATTAGGAACCGATAACATGTGTAAACCAAGTCAGCGAGCCTGACCACCCGGTCCCGTTAGTCACCTCTTACGACAAGCATAGTCGACTTTTGTGGCAAGTATGGGTTGCTGAAGACCTATTCTACCCCAGATCTTCACGGGTCACCATTGCATGAAGATACAGAAGACTTTGACTTTGTCTACAAAGTCCCACTTGTTTCAATCCTTTGACTTGAAGTAAGGCTGTTACGGGTGACTAACTTCAGGTTAAATGGTTGTGGGATACCGTCCACAAATATCAACATTTACATCTGCGAGTACTCCAAGTTTAAATAGTGATGCCTAAATTTCTCAGGACAAGAGGTGAGGTGAGGTGAAATGGGGTTTAACATCGTCCTTAAGAATATTTTGCTGCTCATATGTGGTGTGTTTGACTGCTTGCACTAACCCAGACTTAAGCTGGTTTTATAGTGCTAGCCCACTGAGATACCATGCGCAGTGAAGCATGAATACCCCACTCAGACACATTTACCGACCCGAGCTGATCAGTCCTTATTGTACCCATTAATGCCGAGAGGCAGGCAGGGACCAAAAAGTACCATATTTTAACGTCTTTTGGTATGACGCAGCCGGTGATCGAACCCACAACCTTCCGTTCACCTCTCGAGACAAGAAGTTCATGCCAGTTAATAGATAATGCTGGAGTACTCATGTTGGTTTTTAGGGCTGACTATTGAGAGAGAAACAACTATTGCAATAGCGATAGTCTATTGCGACCAACTATTGCATTACTATTGCAATAGATTTCTCCCTCATTGAATTGTGTCATTTGAAGTCAATTCCCAAATGAATGTATGGTTTATATGAAATAAAAACAAGCTGAAGTTGTTTCGGTCCCTCTTAATAACTGACAAGAAAGTTTGATACCCAGATCAAGTAAAGTGTTAAAACATTAACTCAACAAAGCTGCAAGTCTGCACGCAAACAAAAAAGAAATTAAAAAAACACACATGAATATTAAATAACATTAAAGTCAATTACTAAACTATTGGTAGTTACACATACAACCGACGCATCGAAAGTTTTTCTTTTCTGCCATCGATTAATTGCTATTGGAAACTCAACAATTGCAATCCATCGATAGCTCGATGCATCGTTACAGACCCATTGGTTGTGAGTATATGTGACTATACACTACACTGGGTTGTAGAGCACACAAAGCAACAATTTCCCTTCAACAGAACCAAATTATTCTTCCAACAATCACTAAATCCTGCATCGATCTGGCATAGTGAAATACAAATATTCTAGGAAAATTATTGAAAATATTTCATCAACATTATAGTATTTGGTTTGACAGTTAGATACAAAACTTAAAACAACACCTCTGTAGTGAGTAATATCCCAGCAATATCACTGCAGGGGACCCCAGAAATGTTTTTTACTAATTGAAATGTTACTGTCACAAAAATCTGGATTTTTTCATTCATTCTCTGTCAGCAGGGGAGCTAAATTTTATTCCACTCTTAGCAATATTCCTGCAAAATAACAGCTACAAATATTTCAATCATCAAACCAAGGCCTTCACAGCTGTAACCACTAGCAGACCACCACCCCTCTCCTTTAACAGGAATAAAGAACAGCGTTACAGGGCTAGTTTTTGGCAGCTGATATGATGGGCTCACCTGGTTTCACTCGGGGACAGGCTGGAGGGACCTTGTCACACCCTACTATCCGAGCAGTCCCAGTCCCATCATCAAGCACAATCTCGTCTCCCTTGTCAGTCTTCTGGAAAAGGTTTTAGCAAATTCATTTTGTTCATAAGTAAAATAAATTCAATAAAAATTTGGGTACTTTTACAGAGAAAACAACATAATTCATCAAGACTATCATTTGAAAGTTATATCCAGAAAAATGGGGCAAAATGATATTTGTTAATTGAGTGATTTTAACAATGTATTTCTTGTAGTTATGTCTAATTATTATTGTTGTGTGACATATCAGTCAAGAGTTTTGAATATCTCTCCTAATGGGTTTGATACATCAGACATGACTAATTTGTCAAGACATTTCCATTCAAGTAAATTGACACCAACACTGAGACAATCAGTATTGATGACAGAGAACTATCTTGGATTTGGGGTAATTAATTAAACAAATTAATGTTATTTAGTTCATAATTTGGACTTTTTTATTCTGGTATTCCATACTTAGTGATAATAAAATGCTTGAATTCCACATGCTTCATGCAAACCATTTACGAATCACATAGGACTGAAGCTATTTCCCCTTTATGTGATTTCTGATGAGCACACTAAAAGTCATCTTTTCACTGACATCGTATCAGTTACAGTTACTGACAAGTTGACAACTGCAGAAGATTTTGGGTGGAATATGTTAAGTTTGAAAGGAATGGATTCAGATAATATCTATTCTGATCTCTTACACTGACATTGGCTATAGGACTGAGGCAGAATGTATGAGGTGAGGTAATCCTTGAATACAGGTCATAGTATTTACCTGCACCACTAAACCTTGCACCCACACACAGCCAAATATCTTCTTCCTGCCAAGCACTTTCATTTCCCAGTTGACAGACTTGACATTAGGATTGATGACATCAGAGGACTTCTCACAGTGCTGCAGGTCGGACACAAACAGTTTTGTAGAGGGCAGGTCAAGAATATTCATGTTGATATTGGCTGAAAAGTTGATGAAAATAAGGCATAAATTTGGAAAAATGTTCTGGTTAGAATTAATCCCTTGCAAAATATACTGGTTGTAAGAGGGGACTAAAGTGACCAGCTTGTCAGATCTGGAGACTGATTGTATGTTGTGCATGTTATGATACTGGGATTTTATCCCATTGGTGTTGATCATTGCTCACAATACAGACCACTGAACTGTCTGGTTCAGAGTCAATTATTCACAGGTAGACATCATATAGATATTCCTGAAAGCAGCAATGAACAACTAAGGGATCGTTCATAATTTATGGCTAGGGGCCAGGGGGTGATGATGATTTAGGGGGCACCCATTTTGTTCTGAGGATGGGGGTGTTGTCATCAATTTTGTACACATGCACTGGGGGAGCAATTTTTGTACATAAAAATATTTTTAAATTATGCTTTTAACTTATGTGAAGGGAAAGAGGGGTGGGGTCATTGATTTTGTACATGACATGCAGGGGGGTCACTTACTTTGTATACATACATTTTTAGAGGGGGTCATTCACATTGTACATGCTTCTCCATAAAAATCATCATCACCCCCCGTAGCCATAAATTATGAACGGGGGAGTACTGCACTTTACCGGGCGCACTTTTTCAGATTAATTAACGCTGCTGGGTTTCCCTAACCCTAACCCTAAGGATCGTAAAGGGTGCCGAACCCTGAGGATCGTAAAGGGTGCCTAACCCTAACCCTAAGGATCGTAAAGAGTGCCATACCCTAACCCTAAGGATCGTAGATCATTTTTGAGAGGTCAGTTGAACTGAAAAGTAAGTATGCGTGGACTTACTCTCGACTTACATTAAATCTTCGCGGCAGCGGGAGAACTTTTCACTGGGATCCTGTCTACACGACCTGTTACCTTGTCCTCGCCTACCCGGGTTCTATGCAGCGGTTATATGCTATATCATCGCAGCGCCGGAGCGTGGAGGGATTGTGGCGCTTGCGCGTACCATTAGCGAAACTAGTTTAACCTTCGGAGCTATATCGCTTATCTCAACACGTAAAATATTAACGCTTTACACTATGTAAACTATCAGAAGGAGCAATATATTTAAGATGTATATCCATATACTTTCAAACAATATATGTGCCCAATTTATTATGTTAGTTTTGTTGGACTATTTTCTCATGTTTACACTTTTCTCATTGTTGTATGAGGTATCTGATTTCCAAAATGTCTGGCGACGGTCAACATCATGCGGACTATCAGTGTAAACACTACAAGAGAAACTGCAAATACATTGTAAGATATTTGAAACCACTTTACGAAACGTCTAAGAACGCTGTAGCGCAGTAATATGGCAAAGTACACCTATAGGGGTACATTTCTTGGAAAGGTTGTTACTTCCACATGTTCTGTTTTCAATCAACACAGAACCCAAATTCATGATCATGATGATAGCAGAAGAGAGACCCGTAGATCACCTTAAGTCGTGGGAAAATCAAATGAAAATCAATATAAAAGCCCGATTCATCTGTGTTTACAGTTTTACACAGAGCTTCTAGATTTCATAGTTCCTAAATACATCCGAATATTAGTTGGTGTAATGCGCGACACAGACATTGTAAACTTTCATATGCTGGCTTATTTTATCTTCAATAAGACTAGAATCTCCGATCTGAACTTTCCAAAAGTTATTATATTAACAAAGGTCAAAAAGCATAAACACTAAAAGATCATGGTTAATTTATTTCAACTTAGATCTACATTTGAAAAAGGGATATTTACAACAGATGCACGTTTGCCATTAAGGGAAAGAGTTACTTCCGTTCCCCCAACTCTAAACCTAACCCTAACCCTAACTTAAATTTTGGACTTTTAGTCATTTTGTGAGTTCTCTAGTAATTGTTGTCTTAAGTGTTGTTAATAATTTTAGTATATTTATAAATATTATTTGGGATGGGGGAACGGGAGGAACTCTTACCCTTTCTTATATACTGTATTCTTTATGCATGTGTTAGTGTTGGAGTTGAGCCCAATAACACAAGTATGGCAAAGTCTGCCACATGCATGTTGTGTTAGACCAGTGGCAGCTAGTACTGAGCAGGAATGTCAGCTTGGTCAAGATGAAATCGGAGAAGGTGGTTAGACATTAGTTTGGGTAGTTTATTTTTCAGATTTTAATATGACCCTCTTTCTGAATTAATTAAGTCTGCCATAATATACAGTAACAAACTCAAAGGGACCTACATGCTGAAATATACAGCAAGTGGCCAGGATCAAGAAAACAGTTTGTTATATAAAATACATGGTATAAGTGTGTCCATAATGTAAGAAACTACAGTGAATAAACAAACTAAAGGTCAACAGTGCATGTCTGTGAACATAGTGAAATTGAAACAGGTCCTTTCTACAGAGGTATTATTTGAGTACTGAGATGCAGAAGTGTCTGTAATTCCCTTTTTCATGCATCATGTGACTAACTGTACATGAATCATGTCAAGTCACTATTGAAAATGATGATATGTCTATTATTTCTGATTTCAGGCACTTTGTTGTAACTAGGTGTGCATGATGAATGTAAAGTTAGTATTGAAATGGTGAAGTTTTGTTTCTGACTTCAGGCTCCATGTTGTGACCAAGTGTACATGTGCCGAGTTTGCCATGATGACAAGGAGACTCATGAAATGGACCGAAAGCAGGTGAAGGAAGTCCTGTGTCTAAAATGTCAGACAAAACAAAAGGTTGGTAGCTTGAATGGATGTGATCAACTAACTGTCTGCATAGCCATGATAACAATGTCTGACCAGAGTGTTTGTGATTTTTTGCAAATTCACTGCACTGTGGGCATTCCAAATATGAATTGGTCCCCAGAATCACAAACTGGGTGTAAGGAGCCACTTAAATGATCAGGTGGTCACAAACATACTGTTGTGTTCAGGAGCGGTGGGGTAGCCTAGTGGTTAAAGCATTCGCTCATCATGCCAAAGACCTGGGTTCAATTCCCCACATTGGTACATTGTGTGAAGCCCATTTCTGGTGTTCCTTGCCGTGATATTGCTGGAATATTGCTAAACATGTAACAGCGGCGTAAAACCGTTCTCACTCACTCACTCATATTGTAAACAATTTAGAGAACACTGTCTCTCTTATTTGGCCCAATTGGGACTGCCTAATCTGTCAGAAACAAACTGTGTGTGGTGTTGATGAAGTGAACCAGTTTTGATTATTTCAACAGGACAGTCTGGATTCAAAATGTTGATGGCACTAAATTGTCATATTGAATGAATTTATCTGACAACATACAATATGTTGAGTTGTGTAGTCATTATGGTTATTGGGATTTTAAACCTCAGGGGGCAGTGGGGTAGCCTAGTGGTTAAAGCGTTGGCTCGTCATGCCGAAGGCCCGGGTTCGATTCCCCACATGGGCACAATGTGTTAAGCCCATTTCTGGTGTCCCCCACCGTGATATTGCTGGAATATTGCTAAAAGCGGCGTAAAACTAAACTCAGTCAGTCAGTTAAACCTCAGACTTTGCCACAATAGTCTCTCTAGAAAGCTAACAGAGAATACAAAACACAATCATTCAAACCTTTATGTCTTTTTATGGTCACAGGAATGAAAAACAGTGTCTGCAAGTTTTGTTTGTTATGACTATGAGGGAGTAATTTTTTTTGTATTTCTATGTTCAAAGTTTCAACAGACATGTGAGAAGTGTGGCGGCATGTTTGGCAAGTACTGCTGCAATATCTGCCATCTTCTTGATAATGAGGACAAGCAACAGTTCCACTGTGACAAATGTGGTATATGCAGGTGAGTGAACAGTAATGGATGTGGTATATGCAGGTGAGTGAACTGTGACAAATGTGGTATATGCAGGTGAGTGAACATTGATGGATGTAGTATATGCAGGTGAGTGAACAGTAATGGATGTGGTATATTCAAGTGAGTGAACATTGAAGGATGTGTTATATGCAGGTGAGTGAACTGTGACAAATATGGTATATGCAGGTGAGTGAACTGTGACAAATGTGGTATATGCAGGTGAGTGAACATTGATGGATGAGGTATATGCAGGTAAGTGAACAGTAATGAATGTGGTATATTCAAGTGAGTGAACTGTGACAAATGTGGTATATGCAGGTGAGTGAACATTGATGGATGTGGTATATGTGGGTGAGTGAACAGTGACAAATGTGGTATATTCAAGTGAGTGAACTGACAAATGTGGTATATGCATGTGAGTGAACATTGATGGATGTGGTATATGCAGGTGAGTGAACAGTAATGGATGTGGTATTTGCAGGTGAATGAACTGTGACAAATGTGGTATATTCAAGTGAGTGAACTGTGACAAATCTGGTATATGCATGTGAGTAAACAGTGATCGATGTGGTAAATGCAAGTGACTGAACTGTGACAAGTGTGGTTTATGCAGGTGAGGCACGGTGACAAGTGTGGTATATGCAGGGGAGTGAACTGTGACAAATGTGGTATATGCAGGTGAGTAAACAGTGATGGATGTGGTATATGCAGTCGAGTGAACTGTGACAAGTGTGGTATATGCAGGTGAGTGAACTGTGACAAATGTGATTTGTGAGCTCGATACACAGGAGCACACGCCATGTTGATGTCAGTGATGTTCCAAATGATTTATGTCATGTTGTAACATCATATGGAATGATGTGGCAACAAAACATCTGAAACAAATATCCTTTATTTAGAATTAATTTTTTTCAGGTCATGTAGAGAATATTTACACAGAATTACAGGTTAATTTGTGTAGAAAGATCTTCCCCAATCCATGTTACATACTAATTCAATACACTTGTGCCAGGTAATGTTGAATTCATCGTAGCCTATAGGTTAGCATTCTCTTCCCACAGAGGTTACTTGTCATATCTTCCTACGAACCTCTGTTCTAATACGGCCCTTTCATGGCGAGTGTTCAGGATTCGTGATTGGTTGCAATCAGATTTAGTTGTGCAATCAGCTACGTTGTTTCAAAAGTGATCATTCGAAAGGGCTCGGTTATTTCCGTATGCTTCGGGAAAACTAGAACCTCTTCCCCTGCGCAATGCGCAATCGTTTCTTCTAGACAGAACTCAGTCATGTAACAGCGGATCAATGGTGTCTGCATCGCCCTCGTTGACAACGGACAAACTAGCAATTAAATGTCTTGTGTGTCACATCAACTCAAGTCTCCGACAGAGAAGAGGGATATTTATGGCCCCATATTTGCTTGCATTAGTCAAATTGGATTTAAGTCGATGTAACACGTGTTCTGATTGGATAGAAAGAAGGGAGATAATTCGTTTTGCGATTTTTTGCCGCTAGGGGATTTTACGAGAATCAGGAAATATGTCCGTATTAAAACAGTGGTTCGTAGGAAGATATGACAAGTAACCTCTGTGGGAAGAGAATGTTAGGTTAGCTATAATCTGGATACAAGTTGACGGTAGCATGGTGCTGGTGTTGTTTTACTTTGGAGTGAGTGAGTGAGTTTAGTTTACGCAGCACTCCGCATTGTTCCAGATCTTCACAATTGGGATACATTGACATGTGTCAACCAAGTCAGCAAGCCTGACCACCTGATGCTGTAAGTCACTTCTTACGACAAGTATGGGTTACTGAAGATCAATTCTAACCCGGATCTTCACGGGTACTGTATTTTGGAAGGCAGTTGATGGTTACTGTGGGACATGACCACATTATGAACCGTAGTGACTCGCTTACTATAACATCTTATTTCAATTTACAGAGTTGGTGGACAAGAGAACTTCTTTCACTGTGAAAAATGTGACATATGTCTTGCCAACAATCTCAAAGACAATCACAAGGTATGTCATATCTCACGCTGTAGTTGTTCTACTCGAAGGGAGTGTTCTCACCTGATCATGTTTCATGGATGTGTCCATTTGGAATGGGTTGTGTTTCCGTGAAGTGTTATGAGGCCAAGGGACTTGAAAGATACATATTCTAGTTTTCGTTCACATAGCATCGAGAGCAGATAGCAGAAATGCAATATGTGAAATAGAATAAATCTTTGAATTATTTGATATATTAGAAATTCATGCCTTATTTTTCATTTCTGCTGGAGCTCATATAAGATCTTGCAGTTTTTGCTCAGGTGGATTATAAATGGTGTATGCATATTTGGTTTGCATAATCAAGTTATTGATTGAATTAATTCATATGAATTAAACAGTATCTGGTGTGACAACCCTCTAGACTTAGACATGATTATGACAAGGAGATTCTGACAGTAACTTGACAGTATCCTCAAGTCTCTGTATGTTGTAGTGTGTGGAGAAAGTGTCCCACGACTCCTGTCCCATCTGCCTGGACTTCCTGCATACATCCAGGCGAGACCTCAGCATCCCACCATGTGGCCATCTCCTTCACAGGTACGTAACACTCAAGTCATCATGTGATCCTTGGTGCCATGTAATGATGTCATGGGTGATCATGTCGTTTTGGTGCCCTACATTTAGCATGGGTGTTTGGGTCATAGTTTGAGTCCAGTGGTTGCCATAGCTTATCTAACCGTCCTTCGTGCTCTATACATGACATGAGTCATCTAGCCATCCTTAAAGATCCATGCTCAACATGAGTCATTTAGTCATCCTTAGTGCTCTATGCATGAGGTGGATCATCTCAAAATCCTTAGTGCTCTAAACATGGTCATCAAGCGCGCTGTACACCATTCTCTTCCCACAGAGGTTACTTGTCATATCTTCCTACGAACCTCTGTTCTAATACGGCCCTGTCATGGTGCGAGTGTTCAGGATTCGTGATTGGTTGCTATCAGATTTAGTTGTGCAATCAGCGACGTTGTTTCAAATGTGATAATTCGCAAGGCCTCGGTAATGTCATGTTATGGCGGATCAGGGCGTCTCCATCGCCTTCGTTGACACATGCTAGCCATTAAACTAAGTCGATGTAACTCGGTTCTGATTGGATAGAAAGAAGAGAGATCATTCGTGTTGCGATCTTTTGCCGCTAGGTGATTTTACGAGAACCGCGGGAAATATGGCCGTATTAGAACAGAGGTTCGTAGGAAGATATGGCAAGTAACCTCTGTGGGAAGAGAATGGCTGTACACATGACTTTGGTAATTTAGCTGTCGTGTGTGCTGTATGTATGACCGGGGTCATCAAGCAATGAATGTTTTATGTTTGACATAGGACATTTGAACACCCTGTACAGCTACAAAATGTGCCTTATAGTTGACACTGGTCATCTTGTCATCCTTTGTGGCCAGTCCTTGACATGAGGCATCTTGTCTTCCTTCCTACACTGAGTTTGACATGTCAACTGATTTTCTGTTTACTTTCTTTTCTCTTTACAGAGACTGCTTTAATAATCTACTACAATCAGGGTATGTATCTTTGTTTTCCTTCAGTTTAACAACCAAATTCTTTTTCTTCAGACACTGTACTCATATTAATATAAATTAAACATATATATGAATAATATTTTTTCATTTATTCTATCTCCCATATAACATTTCTGCATATTGGAAACAAATTTTGAACATGTTTCCCTCATGTTATTGGCCTCACCCCAAAACAGCCCATTCAGTATGAACCTTCCTTAAGCATACAGCAGGCTCTGAGTGAACCCTGTCCCTTTCCCCATCCACTTGTTCTCGTCTTAGGGAAAATTGCCTCAAAATCTGAGGTGAGATTGATTGGATTATATTGAGCTATGTGAGATAGAATAAGTCTTCAAATCCAGTGGATCGATGCCCCCATTGGGCTGCCTCTAATCAACTATTCTTATCCTAACTTGGTTACTAAAAAGAGCTGAGGACAGGAAATGGAATATCTCTAGACATCAACAACTGCTGACTGAGCAGAATGGCCACATAGATTCTTGAAATCAAAGGAAGAGAAGAGTTTTGAGTTGAAAGTGGATAGGTAGAGGAGAGGCAGGAGGGAAAGGGTATGGTAATGAATACTTGAATGGCGTAATTAATTGTATACCGCTTTTGAATTTTGTGCTGTGTTCTCCAAGCATTGTGTTTGTTTGTTGTGTAGAAACTATGCCTGCCCTGTGTGTAACCAGTCACTTGTGAAGATGGATGAAGTGTGGGAGAACGTGGATGAAGAGATCGCCAACACACAGATGCCTGATGAATACAAAGACATGGATGTTGACATTCTTTGTAGAGACTGTCATAAGGTAGATACATGTACACAAGGTGGACACACCTTGACAATGACACTGAAGAGTCCGTCACATGGCAGAGGCTTTTCGAGAATGTCATACACCTTGACACTGAAGGGTGTGTCACATGGTAGAGGCGTTTATAGAATGTCATACACCTTGACACTGAAGGGTCTGTCACATGGTCATACAACCTGTAGGGATAGTCATAAGGTAAAACAAGGGACTGTTGTAAACCAGGTAGACATAATATGGACAAACATACACCTTGACAGTATAGGGTCTGTCACAAGGTAGAGACATGTAGGGACTGTTGTAAGGTACATATAACATGGACAGACATACACCTTGACAGTATAGGGTCTGTCACAAGGTAGAGACATTTAGGGACTGTTGTAAGGTACAGATAACATGGACAAACATACACCTCGAGAGCATAGGGTCTGTCACAAGGTAGAGACATTTAGGGACTGTTGTAAGGTACAGATAACATGGACAAACATACACCTTGACAGTATAGGGTCTGTCACAAGGTAGAGACATTTAGGGACTGTTGTAAGGTACATATAACATGGACAAACATACACCTTGGCAGTATAGGGTCTGTCACAAGGTAGAGACATGTAGGGACTGTTGTAAGGTACAGATAACATGGACAAACATACACCTTGAGAGTATAGGGTCTGTCACAAGGTAGAGACATTTAGGGACTGTTGTAAGGTACATATAACATGGACAAACATACACCTTGACAGTATAGGGTCTGTCACAGGGTAGAGACATTTAGGGACTGTTGTAAGGTAGATATAACATGGACAAACATACACCTTGAGAGTATAGGGTCTGTCACAAGGTAGAGACATTTAGGGACTGTTGTAAGGTAGATATTACATGGACACAATATTCATACACCTTGACAGTATAGGGTCTGTCACAAGGTAGAGACATGTAGGGACTGTTGTAAGGTACATATAATATGGACAAACATACACCTTGAGAGAATAGGGTCTGTCACAAGGTAGAGACATGTAGGGACTGTTGTAAGGTACATATAACATGGACAAACATACACCTTGACAGTATAGGGTCTGTCACAAGGTAGAGACATTTAGGGACTGTTGTAAGGTAGATATAACATGGACAAACATACACCTTGACAGTATAGGGTCTGTCACAAGGTAGAGACATTAAGGGACTGTTGTAAGGTAGATATAACATGAACAAACATACACCTTGACAGTATAGGGTCTGTCACAAGGTAGAGACATTAAGGGACTGTTGTAAGGTAGATATAACATGAACAAACATACACCTTGACAGTATAGGGTCTGTCACAAGGTAGGGACTGTTGTAAAGTAGATATAACATGGACAAACATACACCTTGAGAGTATAGGGTCTGTCACAAGGTAGAGACATTTAGGGACTGTTGTAAGGTAGATATAACATGGACACAATATACATACACCTTGACAGTATAGGGTCTGTCACAAGGTAGAGACATGTAGGGACTGTTGTAAGGTACAGATAACATGGACAAACATACACCTTGAGAGTATAGGGTCTGTCACAAGGTAGAGACATTTAGGGACTGTTGTAAGGTAGATATAACATGGACAAACATACACCTTGACAGTATAGGGTCTGTCACAAGGTAGAGACATGTAGGGACTATTGTAAGATACATATAACATGGACAAACATACACCTTGACAGTATAGGGTCTGTAACAAGGTAGAGACATTTAGGGACTGTTGTAAGGTACCAATAACATGGACAAACATACACCTTGACAGTATAGGGTCTGTCACAAGGTAGAGACATGTAGGGACTGTTGTAAGGTACATATAACATGGACAAACATACACCTTGAGAGTATAGGGTCTGTCACAAGGTAGAGACATTTAGGGACTGTTGTAAGGTACATATAACATGGACAAACATACACCTTGAGAGTATAGGGTCTGTCACAAGGTAGAGACAAACATTTAGGTCTGTCACTGTTGTAAGGTAGATATAACATGGACAAACATACACCTTGACAGTATAGGGTCTGTCACAAGGTAGAGACATTTAGGGACTGTTGTAAAGGTACATATAACATGGACAAACATACACCTTGACAGTATGTTGTAAGGTACATAGGGACTGTTGTAAGGTAGATATAACATGGACAAACATACACCTTGAGAGTATAGGGTCTGTCACAAGGTAGAGACATTTAGGGACTGTTGTAAGGTAGATATAACATGGACAAACATACACCTTGACAGTATAGGGTCTGTCACAAGGTAGAGACATTTAGGGACTGTTGTAAGGTAGATATAACATGGACACAATATACACCTTGACAGTATAGGGTCTGTCACAAGGTAGAGACATAGGGACTGTTGTAAGGTAGATATAACATGGACACAATATACACCTTGGCAGTATAGGGTCTGTCACAAGGTAGAGACATTAAGGGACTGTTGTAAGGTACATATAACATGGACAAACATACACCTTGACAGTATAGGGTCTGTCACAAGGTAGATACATTTAGGGACTGTTGTAAGGTAGATATAACATGGACACAGTATACATGCACCTTGAAAGTGTAGGGTCTGTCACAAGATGAATCAGTTAGGATTTGGGAATTATCTGCACTCATTCCATTTGAAACAAAGTTATGCAGTAATTTCAATTGCTTTAGCATATTTAGAGAAGGATCATGAAATTAGAATGATAGGATGGTATGTGTCTGAGACACATTGCATCATTTCAAGCTTTGCTACCACGTCAAGCAGACACTCAGTGATATCACAGTGAATACAGTGCACACCGCAGATAAACCCCACTCACTCACTCACTCACTCTGACACTTAGTGATATCACAGTGAATACAGTGCACACCGAGGATAAACCCCACTCTCACACACTCACTCACTCACTCTGACACTTAGTGGTATCACAGTGAATACAGTGCACACCGAGGATTAAACCTCACTCACTCACTCATTCACTCAATGGAGTCTCATTCCTCCTGATCATTAATGAGTTGTCTCCCTTTGAATGAAATCCAAGTAAAACTAATCCTGTTTGAGCTGTCCGAAAACTTCCCTGAGTTTATTTTTTCAGTATTTTTCTTTATCTCCATGTCAAGTAACTTTCGTGTAATTTGTTTCCAGGATAGCAATATCAAATGGCATGTTCTGGGTCTCAAGTGCAGTCATTGCGGGTCGTACAACACATGTCGCAAATAGGAATATTTGACAACATTGACCACATTGTGCATGAAGGTATGTGTATTTTAGCGTCACAGACTGTCATGGCCTTTAAGCCTTGAAGGGTTCCACACAGAAAAATTAACATTATAATACTTAAAAGAAGATAACAAACACACAATTCGTCTATATTACCATAGTTAAACTGACTGTCCATATAATAATTGTACCTCCGGTGTTCTTTAACTTCTTACAAATAGAATATATCCTTTTCAATCATGGTAACACTAATGTGCAAATTTATATTTCTTATCACATCAGAAAGTGAAAAATTGCAATTTTTACAAAGCGGTTTACACATTAATTTCTACATGTTTTTATTGCGCTTTTTCTATTGTATTTCAGATGTCGAAGTCCAGAATGCATCATGAAATATATCTACCTGTGGCCTTGAACAAGATCATGTCTCAGTGATCAGATAGTTTATGTATGTGCAGTTAACATAGCAATAGACAGTCCATACCTCTGGTACTGATATAATGGAGACTAACATAATATATATTTTTTTGTTCTCCTGTTAGTCATTCAAAAACATCTTAAAAATGAGCATCTAACCTCGTATGTTGAACTTTTGTTGAAAGATAAAGATTTGCAGTTTTTTTGTAATACAGTTCAGGGATTAAGGTTTGAAAAGCATTTGAAAGAAAACTAATTAAAAATATCACAGAAATGTCTTACAAATGCAAAAGCTATTCAATAGTCTTTATGCTGATTTAATTGATGCTCTGCCAAAATATATTTTGTGTCCTGTTAATTAAGATTGTGCACATTACCCCACATTACGAATGCGTGCTTGTTAAAATGCATGTAGAGCTTATGTAATACGTAATAGTTCAGGGATTAAGAATTTTGTAAATATTTGGCAGTTTTAAAGTTGAATGTTGTAATCAAATATAGGGAAAAGATAAAGAAATGTCATGCGATCTCCAAGTACCATAGCTGTGATACTGCTGGAATATTGCTAAAAGCGGCGTAAAACCATACTCGACTCACTCACTCCAAACACTGGTGGATGACGTTTAAGGCACTTAGAGACTGACACACATCTTGACAGTATAGGGTTTGCCCTGGTCATAATGCATAACCTTTGCATGCTCTGTTTTGGATGTGCTGTGTTGATTGTGTAATATGTCTCTGTGCAGTGATGTTCTGGCTGTGTCATTCCAACATTTGGACTGATCTCAACAGAAAGGTTATTCGCATGGCTTTCAATAATGAATCAGGCCACTGAAATGTTGTCTTGCTGTCAGTGTTGGTTTCAGTACATATCTCTTCTTATCCTAATACATGAAGTCAATGGGCATGGCTTTGGAAGCTTATGATGCTTATGATGATGATGATGATATGTATCTCTATGGCATTTCTATTGCTGGCATAATCAAGGATAATAGAAACTCATTTTCACTCCTTTTGTTCCAGTTTTGTACAACAATATACATTTTTATTACTCGCCCATGGACAGTGTAATATTTGTACAGCAATATACCACTAGATATATGATGTCATAATGGTTTACAGTTATGACTTCATAATGCTAATTCCTCTGTCACAATGGTATTAGACCGTGCTAAGAGTCATCACACTGTAGGCAGTTTCTATCAATTTATGTTACCAATTAATAAATAGATTTCTAAACTCGCTTCTGTGAAATACCATTTTTATTAAACTTGTGAAAGATTTCGTATTAAACTCGCTTTCACTTGTTTGATACCAAATCATTAACTCATTTAATAAAAATGGTATTACACGGAAGGTCGTTTAGTATCATCTATGAGCGCCAAGTTATACATGGGTATATTCCCAAGGAATTAATTAAGTAGGAGAAACAAAGGCATTTATGAAGGTGCATATGATTAATATATGCTTTGGGGCTGTTATGATTAACTCGGTGATGTGATTCAAGCTGCATCATGATTTCAGTTCATTATTTGCCACCACTAGAATTGAATATTCATGAAGGAGTGTTTTTACTTGAATTTATTGTAAAGCTTGTCTATCAAACCTAGGCAGGATAACAGTCAACACTCATAGATTTGATTTGACAGTAATGTGGTGAATGGTCATTGTCATGACATCAACACTGTCATTTATGGGGGCGGTGGGGTAGCCTAGTGGTTAAAGCGTTGGCTCGTCACGCCGAAGACCCGGGTTCGATTCCCCACATGGGCACAATGTGTTAAGCCCATTTCTGGTGTCCCCCGCCGTGATATTGCTGGAAAATTGCTAAAAGCGGCGTAAAACTAAACTCACTCACTCACTCACTGTCATTTATGTAAAATAATTGTTTTGTTATTGTTTCACCGACATGTTGTAAAATTGTAAACTTTTGGCATGTTATTGAAAACATTAGACAATATTTGTATTTGTTATTCAATATCCATGAAATGTATCATATTCATTGTGAATTCATTGCAGCCTTAATATGTATGTACATTATCAAAGCACATATTGTCCAGGTGAATAATTCCTGTTCCATGTGAAACTGAGTAAGATTCAGTGATAAGACCCAATATTGACCAATCAGAATCAGATATTTACCGAAGTTATGACACTATTGTTATCCTGACCCAATATTGACCAATCAGAATCAGATATTTACCGAACTTATGACACTATTGTTATCCTGACGAATATTGACTAATCAGAATCAGATATTTCCCGAACTTATGACACTATTGTTATCCTGACCCAATATTGACCAATCAGAATCAGATATTTACCGAACTTATGACACTATTGTTATCCTGACCAATATTGACTAATCAGAATCAGATATTTCCCGAACTTATGACACTATTGTTATCCTGACCAATATTGACCAATCAGAATCAGATATTTCCCGAACTTATGACACTATTGTTATCCTGTTGATGAGCCAGGTATTTTTATGGTTCTTTTTATGTTGACAATGAATGTATCGACATGATTGTTATTGTTTTACATGTACTTCAAATTCAGGAATTGTGTTAGCTGTAAACATAGCTTTTTTGTCTTTCATATGTACAGTAAAATGTTGTTGTTTTTCTTTCATATGTACAGTAAAATGTTGGTTACAGTTTGGCTCCAAGAACACTGTACATACCTTGAAAAGCTATTGTTTGCTTGGTAAGTATATATATTTAGACTGTAGTAGTATAAGTATAGCCAAGTTGCCACCGTTGCCACTGATGCTGCTGTCAGTGATGTTGTCTGTGTTGTAGTTGGATGAAGCAGGAACTAGATTTACTTGATGATGATATAGAAACTTTATAATTTTGTATTAAGTTTTATATGTGGTTCAGGGTACTGTATATAGAACATTGCCTGGCAGTCAGCTACTACAGTAAAACTTCATTGGTCAAGAAAGCTCGCTTTACAGACAATCTTATCAGGATTAATTAGGTTTAACGATATGTTGATTATAGGACAGCATCCTCAACCTATTTGATTGGTTAACCTGGCTTTTGTTTACCCACAAACTAAAACCAAAACCCCAGTTGTGTCATGATTTCACGAATTTCACCAAAGTGGTTAGCGTTTTCACTCTGAGTTAACACTTCATGATATGAAGAGACTTTGTTCAGGAGCTGCCTCAACCACACACTATCGTGTATTTGTTTGAGAATGTGTTTTGATGTCATTATGCCCAACAGTCTTTGTTAACACGATTAAGTTAGCGTTATCCTCAGTATCGGAGTCATATAGTTTTATTTAATGAATGTGAGTAATATGTACGGACAAACTCTATGGATGAACAACTCCTTTATTCCGCTGATGCGACAATTCGATACAGATTCTTGTATCGTTGTCGCAAGTATATATGTACAACGATACAAGGAGCTGTATCGAAACGTCGCATCACCTGAATAAAGAAGTTGTTTATCCATAGAGTTTGTCTGTATATTGCTCTCCAACTTCCAAACAATGCCACTCAAAAAAAGTTATGAATAATATGTCCGTTTTGTTCTGTGCGAAATGTGCACTACTGCGCATGCTAGCCAGCATTAGTTGGAAAAGGAGTATGTATACATATTAATGTACCTTGTATAGAATAAGTCCAGCTATTCATACGTTAATAAATTCTGTTTACTTTAACACAAATGTGTATTTTATAGGCATTTTGTTTGTAAGTTTGTTGCCCTCAGTATATTCCAGCCAAATGGCGGCGGTCTATAAATACTTGAGTTTGGACATGGGAACACATGCACAAATCCATCTTAAGGCTACTCCCGTACTGCACCAAAGACACATCTACCCTGATAGGATGAATGCAGTTGCACCAAAGCCAGGTCAACTTCATACAGCTGAAATAATTATATTTCAACAACAAACATATTTGTATTCAAACACAAATTGGTATGACACAAAAAAACACAAACGATATAATTCGCATTCACTCAAACATCTTTTATTTCGAAAAGACGTCATGAAAAGCATTCATCAATATGTAATGACTTTCAACAAGGACAGTGTTTAATGCAGAGATACTGTTATTGTCATTGAGGCCGGGGATTGTTTGAAGCCAATTATTCAGACATTGTATTCATTGTTATAGTATACGTATTATTAAAACTTCATTTTGGACACCGTAAGGATTCACAAAATGTTTAGGTGGTAGTGGTATAGTTTGATGGTGACATGGACTTGGACAATCTTGCGCCAAAAACCTGGCGTTGAACTATCATAAATATAAGTTGGCATACTGCACCAGAAGGTTATACTGCCATGCATATAATATTGGTTGTATTCAAAAATTTTGATGAAATATCAGTATCCGCTGCTTAGTCTAATGGATTAAAACATCAAACAACTAATTTGTGTTTTGGAAAAATAGAAAAATTATTATGCTTGTTCAACACCCTTGTTTAGCATCGGAATGGAGTTCTCAGTCCTTGTTGAAAATCAGTTGACAGTTCATCGAAAATAGAATATTAAGCTGGGCCATAAAACTTGACACTCTACTGAAATATTTAATAAACGCATTCCTTTGCTTTACGTTGTACCCCACTATTTGATCTGTGATTTAAATGTCCTTTGCTCTGTCCTTTGATAAATGGAAAAAATACGTTGATATTTTGATGTCACGCTTAAGAGGTCACATACCAAACACTAAGTACTGTACCGGATTACGAAAAATGAGCAAGTGTAACTTTACTAAAAACCGCGCACCCCACCGACCAACTCTTTGTAATTATAACAGTTACGAAAACCAAGAAAATGTAAAAGTCATAAAAAGAAGTCATGGACTTGGGTATTACGTTTTACAACAAATTTCAATTCAGGTTATTAATATATGTAATAACATCTCATTGCATCCATAGTATGCCCAGCAGAATACACTACGTTCCTCATACAAACTCACGCTAAATGACAAGTCTTCTTTATTTCCAAATTCAAATCTTTTTCAAAAGCGACTTGTTCCATTTATCATCTATACGAACACACAGTCGTAAGGTATGTAACCGTCTCTTGTTATTGTATTCGAAATACGGTTCCATATGTTATCGAATTTGGCCAAATAGATAAAGGGAACCTTGCAATCGAAAGCTCAGGGTGAGGTAAGGTGTCGTGTTCTCAGAGATATGTAATACAATGACTTCTCGAAATGACAAAGGCTGGTAATGTCCCATGTCGCAAGATTCCCTTCCTTATCGGCGCAAGGTTACTGCTAAGCGTTCAAGCCAAGTCATTGATACTGGCCATAGTCCTATATGGGGTTGTAAGTCTTAGTCGAGCCGTTCCTAGAAGACAGCATGAAGGCAGTTTAGGAAGATTCCAAAAAGTGTTCCTCGAACAGTTATTTTTGTAGTTTTAGAAAAACACGTTGCTTTTGATATTTTGAGATGAAAGTGTGGAATAGCTGGAATGGTTAAGGTTCAACAAGAACCAAGAACAGTTGACCTCACATGGATTCCATGTACATTATCTGTTCAGTGAATGGGTATGCGAGTTTTGTGTCGCCATTTTGTAACACTGAGATTCGCAACCAAATCTAGAGAAGTTAATCGTACAATGTTCTCATGTAAAGCCTTATCATAGCCTTATGCACGAATAAGTTATACCAGGAGGCTGGGTTACCAAAGCACAGTGCTGTAACGCAAACCAAAGTGCAACGATATTAAGGCATATTGCGGCAATATTATGAATAGTGCAACGGTACCAAAAGCACACTGCCGCATCATTTGGACAGTGCAACAATGCCAAAGCAGACTGCCGCAAAGCTTTGCATGATGCAACGGTATCAAGCGCAATGCTGCAACACTAAGCAAAGTGCAACGATACCAAATGTTGCAACTTTTTTTTAAGCACAGTACAACGATACCAAAGTATGATGCTGCAACTTTAAGCACAGTGCAACGATACCGCACCACATTATTGCAACAAAAAGCAAGGCACAGCGACATCGAAGCACCTGCATTACTCCCTTTAAGGTATCATGTAGTACTTGGCTTCATCAGACGGTCAGATTGAAAGTAAAAACTAACCTCAAAACCAAATGTACTCATAACCAACTAAGTATTAACCATGAACATGGAAGCTGTACGAGCGTGATTAGGAGTTTGAAACGTCTGGCAGCAGCAGCTGAGTAAACATGTCACTGAGTTGAAAGCAGTATAGCTTCGTCTTTGTCTATGTTGATTGCCTGGGGACAAAGCTGATCTTGGCGGGTCGGTCTGGGGTCATCACAGTGTTGAGAACAGGTTCTAGATCCTCGTGGTGATACTCTAGCTTGAAGTTCTGGATGATCTGCAATATAATGATGATTGATGATTTGGTTGGTTGATTGGTTGTTGTTTAACGCCGCACTCAGCGATATCCCAGCTATATGGCGGCGGTCTGTAAATAATCGAGTCTGGACCAGACAACCCAGTGACCAACAGCATGAGCATCGATCTACGCAATCGGGATACGATGACGTGTCAACCAAGTTAGCGGGCCTGACCACCCGATCCCGTTAGTCGCCTCTTACGACAATTCTAACCCGGATCTTCACGGGTGATGGTTGATAAAATGTAACATGGCTGATGACATGTAATAAAAATATCTGCACGTGTTAAAGAATCTGAAATGGTAAATGCACTTCAAGTCCAGTTTTAGTGATACCCATTCCATTTATATCCAATACTCAAAGAAGGAAGATCAGAAAGAGTCTGAAAGTATCCCAACCGGAAATGTTTAGGACATGCATTCATTTGCTCTTTCCTGGCACCTCTGGCTGGCCCCGAGCAAGTCACCAACGAGTTTACGCATTACTACGTAATATTAATCAACCTTCTTGAGAATATTTCCCTCGGCCATGTTTAAATTTTCCCATTGCTCCCATTTACAGAACCCATTCAGTTAAGATGTCGACACATAATGTTGTCAAGCCTACCTTTGTTAAGGCTAAATGAACCTCCTGTTCGGCGAATCTACGTCCAATGCACATGCGAGCACCATGGCCCCAGATTAGGTTAGATAGAGCTTTCTGGTTGTTGTCTGTGTTGCCACGCAACCATCTTTCGGGTTGAAATTTCTCTGGTTCGGAGTAGAGCTCTGGGTTACGAAACATCCCGAAAAGATTGGCCTGCACATGTGTCTGTAAAATGATTCAAAGTAAAAATAAGTATTCATATGTTATACGTCTTTAAACACAACAAGAACATTTCAAGGGTGACAGTACACCATTGTGGGTTTCATATAGTCGTGAAAGGTCCATAAAGGGATTTTAGGGTTACACCATGGCTGCGGAATGTGGATGGAAAGCCTGAAGTGATGCAGGTCTGACACGTGTACCGATGTGGAGAAACCCATGAGCACGAGTGAGCATGGTTTTGCGCCGCTTTGACCATTATTCCAGCAATATCACAGCGGGGACACCAGGCGGGCCTCACACATTGTACCCAAGTAGGGAATCTGACTGTCAAATGCCACTTTCTTATAATTACACTTGTTTATTTTGTACTGTACGTGGGCCTAAGGCTTTGATACGAAATAAATTTGAGTGATTGAGTAGGGAATCGAACCCGGGTCTTCGGCGTAACGAGCGAACGCTTTGACCACTAGGCTACCCAACCGCCCAAACATAATCCAGTTAAGAACTCTTTCAACTGTAGAAGCTCCATGGGACTTACCCCAGCAGGGATCTCGAAACCTCCAACTTCCATTTTGTTTGGCACAATTCGGCTTGTGGCAAATGTGATTGGATATAATCTGAAATAAAGAAATTGCCGGTGAAAAGACAAAAATACATATAAAAATTGAACTTGACCAATGCCATTCAAGACATTTAACTCACGTACTAAGGGTTCAAGCTAAGCTTGTAGACGCTTTTATTGTTATCATGGTATGTGGCAAAGGGTCTCCCGTTCCCCGGTACTGCAACTAACCTAAACGTCTCCTTGAGAACGGCTTTGACGTATGGTAACTGTGTGAGCGTCTTGGGTGTTATTTCAGCGTTATGGGGCAGCACCTTGTTGATCTCTGAGTACAGCTTCTGTTGCACCTCGGGGTTCTTGGCCAAGCTGTACAAGCACCATACTGTAGCATTCGACGTCTGCAATGTGAACGTAGAGATAATATATATGTCATTTACGCCAATGTATTATCATACATCTCTCAGATGAAACTCGAACAATAACTGTTGAGTGGGTGAGTATTGGTTTTATACAACCTTTATACCTTTAAATTTTGTAGTGTAGGGTAATATTTTATCCATTTTCAATGTTTTTCAACACTGGCATTGAAATACATATTAAATTAAATCGTACTTTATCATATCGTGACTACTCTTTGGTTTCAAACGGATGTTTTCAAATTTATGTATCATCAAAACCGCTTTCAATGAAATTGTCCTAATGCATTACAATACGATGTCCTTACCGTTTCCACGGCACCCATCATGAGGTCAACTGCTGTTTCCGCGGCCTCTTCCGGCGACAGGGATTGCTGGGAAAGGAGGTAGGTGAGGAAGGCGCCCTTCTCTTGACCGTTCTCATCAGCCATTGAGCTTTGTAAAGCTTTCACTTTCTGAAAATATCACAAATAAAACATAGTAAGAAACTGCCGGTCTTTTATACCGCTACACATTCATCATTACGCATATCTGACTATTTACATGGGATACTAACAGTAGGACAACATCAACAGAACCAACGAATTAATTACAGTTACGGGAACCTAGGTCATTATGAAATCACGCCTTTGGCTCTTTGGTATTATGAGTAGCGACTGCCTGAAAGGTGAAAGGTCACTCTGAACAGTATTATGTTCATAGTGTTTGTAAAATGTGGAACACCCTGAAAGGACAAATGTGACACACACGCCTTCAAATGAAATGAAAGCCACGAGAACGATTGCATCCTGACAGACCTAGAACCATTATCTCGAATGAATTTACAGCGTATCCTTGTTGGTATAACTCTGCACATCTATCTGCTCCTAGGTGTATGGTCCTGTGCATAGAGCTCAGGTCACAAATCAGTTGAAGTTAAGCAACGCTGGGTGACCGTGTTTGGCAGCTTGACTCCTGAGAGTTGTCTTGTCCCACAATGAAGCACATGTGATATAAAAGGCAAGTGAGTTTGTTAAAAATTGCCTCTATTCACCCAGCAGAAAAGGGGTACCCAGTGGGATAAGTCATGTGACTTTAACCTTGTGTGATAAGTCATGTGACTGCGCCTAACATGCAGCTTGGGTTATCCGGGGTATTAATGTATTAGCGCTTTAAGCACAAGTGTGTAGAAACAAGCGCTTTATAAATGGCCAATATTATTTATTTTAATATTATTTACCCTCATGGACAATTTTACACCCGGCAGTCATCATTTGAAGCAAACGACGGAACAAGCATCCCTTGAACCGAATAATACAAATATTTACCTTATCTACAAAGTATCTGCCGCATTCTAAGACGTTATCCGAGTATGATTCGTACTGCTTCCACAGTTTGGTAGGGAAGGCTTTGTATATGGGAAGATTGTACATGAGGGGCTGCATCAACTTGAACAAGCCCTGCAGGTTGTCGATGAAGGACTTGGCCTCGGGATGGGGCTGACTACTGAGACACCCGATGCGCTCCTCAAACAGGAAGGTGCCGATTGCTGCAACAGGAGGCAGGTTGAACATGTAATTGTCACCGCCTAATATGAAACTTTAAACATGAAAACATAAACGTGCTATTAAATCTTGATTTCACTTGAATGATGTTGGTATATGTATCCATATCCGAAAGAGAAGTTTGTAATATTACTGTAATACACAACAGCACACAACTCCTAAGAGTGTGATGTTACTGAAAGGAAATATCAACCTCATTTTTATCAGACAAAGAAGATGTTATGTTACTGCCATAAAAATTCCCAGTTTTCATGATGATGTCCCTTTCCGTTAGAAATATTTCATACATTTCATTTTCATTTTCAGTTAGATTTTTACTATGTCCACATATGCATTTAGTTAAAGGTAACTTTGGCTAAATTTTGCTGTTAACAGAAGATCCAAGATTCCGAATTGACACACCCCTTCCCTATTGCTCTGTATCACATCATCTGAAACTTACATTCCATTGCCCATTTGAACAGTTCCTTCTCAAGCTCGGGGACCTCCTTGGACGTGGCGTCGCTAACGTCTCTCAGTCTTGCTACGAAGTCGTCCCCGACATCGTTCATTGGCTTGCAGAAGTCTGTCACCTCCTTCAGTTTCAACATCTTCTTGCTGACCACTTTCCGATATCTGTGCCACTCCTCGCCTTGCCTGAAAGTGAAGGTCGATCATTTTTACACCAACTGTTATCAATAATCTTCGATTATACTCAATACGTGTATTTTGAATGTCAGTATATGATTTGTTGTTTGTTTGTTTGTTTGTTTGTTTAACGCCACACTCATCGAGAATTATAGCTGTAAAACGGCGGTCAGTGAATAATAGAGTCTTGACCAGACAATCAAGTGATTGATATTAACGAAGTTCCTGCCCATTGTCTGCAGTGAAATTTTCTAACATGTTTATGGCAGAGCAAGATGCTGATAATGACACTTACGAGTTGACGAGACCAAGACCGATGCCTTTCTTTGTTCTGTAGAATGCCATAGGCTCCATCTCACGACGAATTGGCGTCTTGCCCTCTGACCTGATAACCTTCTGGTATACTTCCGGGTCACTGATCACCACGTTTGTGATTGGTCCGAATTTCTCCTTGTAGATAGGTCCAAATTCGAGAGATCGTTGTCGGTAGGCCTGCATATAAATGAATGTACAACCATTAAACACTCCAAAAACTGGATTCTAATAAAACAGCAATGGTCTTGATTTGGTTAGTTTGAGTGAAGTTTGAGGCATTTCACTTCGAACATGTAACTGTTAAGAATATCCAGACTGAATGTTTCAAGACATCTCTTGTATTTGTACAAACAGAAAAAACTACGTACAAGTAATAACATGTTGTTAATACAAAACACCTTTTAGAAAGTGGCCCAATGTGACATATGTTATCTTTGGGTTTACAATATTTCAGTAAAGTACAGATTCTAGTACTTTTTTCAGGGGTTTAGCCCATCCGGCATTCGAAACCACAGTGTAATCCCAAAATATAACATATGACCACTTTCTAAATGGCATTGTCTAATCATTCGAACCGACAGTGTAAGAGTAGGCATCAAAATACATAGCACACATCAAAATATAATGTTAATGTTATCTGCATTCAAACGACAAAGACAAATTTGATAAACGTCTAATATACCTGGAACCTGATCATATTATCTGCAGCCCGATGACATAGGCTCTGATATATGTTCAGGTAAACGAAACAAGCTGTTCTTGCTTACCTCAAACATTTTATCAAAACGGAGGCCATCTTTCTTGAAGTAGTCAAAGATCGTTCCGAAGAACGGTAAGCCTTTGGGTCCTGGTATTGCCTCAAAGGGTTGTGGCTCATATTCCTGTCTTTGTGGTTGTACTGCGTCTTTCGTTTCAGAGGGTTTGATTAAACTCTCCAGGGAGTCCATCGTGCTACGTAAGGGGCACTGGAATTATTGGAAGATTTGCTATGCAGAATAACCTTTAAAAGTCAGTAATTCCGATAAGTGTTGCATTCATACTTCTATATTGTAATAGCAAGGTTCTGTGTCATAAGGGATTTATTTGAGACAATATCAATCCTTTGCATTGAGCATTTAGTTTATTCTTCAGTGTAACGATTTGACGTTTTATTAAACAATGATGATAGTACGTATTAGTGGTGGTCCGATTAATTGAAATAATCGAAGATTGGTCGCAGTGACTAAACGACCAAGCAATCGATCACAATTTTTCATAATCGATCACAAACAATTTTGGAACACTTGTTTGCATTAACAATATTTTTTACAAGGTTGGTTTTGTCTGTTACATTTCATAAGCACTACAATCTCGTTTCAAGTCAGGATTGAATTTATCTTAAAGACTCCAAGAAATGTATGTTCCTCACATACTAGTCATCCTTTAAAGTTGTGAAATTTTGCTAAAAAACCTAAAAGAACTACATGTTTTTTCCATATTTTTATGTGCATTAACAAATTTCATTAATGACGCTAACCAATTTTTTTCGATGATTGATCGGTTGTAATAAACCAATCATCAATTATGAGATTTTAACCAATTCTCAGCACTAGTACGTATGGCAATGACAATGCAAAAGTACACACACCTATTCTATCTTGCATTTAACGAGATTGACAAATTCCTTCTGCACAAATTTTGCAAAGACTCTCACAAACAAACTCAAGTTTCTCAAGTTCGTATATTTGGCTATGCAGCATCTGTACATTCGGGGGGTTAATGATTCGTCTGCCACATTGACATTCGTATTAATACGAGTGACAAAAATCCTAAATAATTAATCAAAGGCGACAACCGTTTCTAAAATCCGAAGCCTATGCTAAGTCAGATATATAATCAGTACCTGTTGTTCCAAACTTAAACCATCGACGTTGAGTACTGCGGCACTCTGTTCAGCACGTGCAGACGTGGAGACGACCCGCTTGGCAGCTGAGGATTCTTTCAGAAGTCTCAGCATGTATCTTCCATGTGTTAGGCCGCTCATCTTTGGTTCTGTGAAGAGCAGACGACAATTGCACAGGCTAATCACAGCAGGCGTGATGAAACGTGTTGATTAAGTCAGCGTTCACGTGATATTAAAAGACAGTTATTAAGATATTTGTTTTGGGAACACTTAAATTATGTTTCACTAAAAAATTATTCACTTTCAAAAATAATTATTAATTTACTGCAGTTTTTGAAAGGCATTTAGAAGTTGGACGAACATGAATACATGACACGTTTTATGTAACACAACTTCTTTTTTATTCGCTATAAGACGTTTCAGAGCTAATGTCGCCTGATGAAGGAGCAAGAATTAGCTCTGAAAAGTCGTGTAAAGAATAAGTTGTGTTCCATAAAACGTGTCATGTATTGATATTTCACTGTATTAACTCAATAATACTAATAAAATCAAAACGGCAAAAATATATAATGTGTAACACCACAACTGATATGGAGTTCACATAAAATAAAAGCTCACCTTAGTTTCTTGCAGGAGTTTCGTTACAAAATTTTGATGTTTCCTTCCAAACAATTGGCCGTAACTTTTTGTTCTTGTTACCAAACTTCGGCCAAGGCGGGTCCTCTCGAGTCTACACGTCGTTGAGCCCAACTGAGCGGCGAGGCCGCTGTCGCCAGCTCTTTTATTTGCCAGCCTTCAATGGCTTATCCTCACACTTGGGGGCGGATGGACGTCAGAGCGGCCAGTTTGATTACCTCACTCCTGTACTCACACCTTTTGCCAGTTTAGGTATGAGGCCATGTGACACGTGGGCTGCCTTAATGACTCTTCTGGTGGCGGGCGATCGTGACAAATCACCGTTGTTGTTCGGATGTCAGTTCGGGTTTTTTTGTTCCATAGATTAACACTGATTTTTGGATTAACTTATATTTATGATTTTCTTTATTCATATAATTATTCCTTGTCGACAGTAAGGACGGGACGCCGGCTTGTTCAATGCATGTGATGATGATATCGGCGTTAATGATGATAAGTGCATTATCTTCACATTATCAGCGACAGTTCTAACGGATTTGATTATTCACAGATTTCCGGGGTACATTCTATCATCATGCAATTTGCCATATGCTTCTTCTTGGGCACTTACGAATTACATGACTCAAACAAAAGACACAGTTCTCATGGAAATCATCATTCACAGATCTTCTGGATACATTTTATTCTTTCATCATGTAATTTGTCATGTGCTTATTCATTGGCACTGGTAATTTTCGAATTACGAATTGCATGCCTCAAACAAAAGATGCTAAGGTCACATAGATTTCGAGAGTCATGGAGTTGCATCTCAGGATATAACGATATAATGAGGTATAAATCATCAACGGAAATTATTATTGTTCCATTTGTTATGTTATGTTATCAAACTTTGGAGCACATATTTGTAATACGGTCATTCATAACAATGTTTGAAAATAAGTCGCTATTCTTAAACATGCAATAAGGAGTGAATGAGTGAGTTTGGTTTTACGCCGCTTTTAGCAATATTCCAGCAATATCATGGTGGGGGGACACCAGAATGGGTTTCACACATTGTACCCATGTCGCGAATCGAACCTGGGTCTTCGACATGACGAACGAAGGCTCTGACCACTAGGCTACCGCACGGCCCCCATGCAATAAGGAAACATACCGAACTCTGAAATGTGAACTGACACGTGATCGGTTACTGATCGTATTGATTTTGAGTAAGCGTGTGCGTGTGTGTGCGCGTGTGTATTGTTTAACGCACCACTCCCCCAAATTCCAGCTATAACAGGGACGGGGGTGGGGAGGATTTAGGTTTAATGGCTTGTTTAAACTGGATATTCATATGTAAATATTGGACGATCTATTTGATACTTCACACGTGCACTTACTCCATGTGCTATAAATATGCTAACCACTTACTACAAGACGTCTTATAAACATGTATCAATACTTACAACTTGACAAAGACCCATAAGTACAGATTCTAGCAGTCGCTGAACTGATACTGGCAGCAAAGGGGAACCATTTCAAAGCGAGTTGTGCTGCCTCAGATTACTAGGCCATTTATGTACCATTGGCGGATTTAACCTGTACAGTGAGTGGGTCAGTTGGGTTTTACGCCGTTTTTAGCAATATGCAAGCAATATCACGGCGGGGGACACCAGACATGGGCTTCACACAATGTACCCATGTGGGGAATCGAACCAGGGCCTTCAGCGTGACGAGCGAACGCATTAACCACTAGGCTGCCCCACCACCCCTTAACCTGTGTAGAACGACATCATTAGCCATCCACTGCAACCCGTACTCTGCTTTGAGTCTCCTGGTGATAGGTAAGGTCCAGGTTGCCTAAACTTGGTACAGGACCGCCTCCGTGGTGTAGTGGTTAGAGCGTCCGCCCGGAGAGCGGAAAGTCGCAGGTTCGATCCCCGACCGCATCATACCAAAAGTCGTTAAAATATGGTACTTGTTGGTCCCTGCCTGGCGCTCGGCATTAATGGGTACAACAAGGACTGGTCGGCTCGGAGTCAGTATAATGTGTCTGAGTGGGGTATTCATGCTACACTGCGGCATGGTATCTCAGTGGGCTAGCACTATAAAACTAGCTTAAGTCTGGGCTAGTACAAGCAGCCGCACATACACATACACACGCATGCACGTCGTCATATGAGCGAAATATTCTCAAGCACGACGTTAAACCCAATTTCACCTCACTTCACACTTGCATAGGCGGATCCAGAGGGGGTTGTTGTTGTTGTTGTCAGGGGTGCCCCACCACCCCACCCCACCCCACCCATTTGTCCTGAAAGTTTATTAAATGACCATTGAAACTTGGGTGGAAATGAAGTGTGCCCCCTACCCCCCTTTTCTCAATAGTGTGCACCCCCCTTTCTCAAAAGCTGTATCCGCCCCTGACTTGGTACAGCTAATGAAATGGATTGTCTGGATCGCTGTCCATGATATAATTATAAGTCATAATTTTCTTTGGTCCATGTTCGACTGTTTACAGGTGGCACATAGGATTGGCACATTGTTATTAGCACCTTGTGTGGGGTTGGTACATCGACTGTATGAAAAACATCTGATGGTGTGATACATTGAGTCCACATGTTAAATATCTGCGTATAGTAATGACGCTATGTTTGCAATTAGAGCGTCACTGATCTCTTTCCAGATCTCATTCAACTTGCGTACAAAGTAGGAAAACCCGCCTTTATCCACGATCTGCTTGGGACAAAGACGTTACTCCCAGGCTCATCCCCCAAACATATTCACCGGCATATACTCCAGCATAATCTCAGGGTTTTGTAATTCTCACGTCATGTCAACACATAAACACATAATTACTTTGTGTTATAATACATAATGGACATGCGTGGAAATGCACAGAAACACATGTATCACATGTATCATAGACATCGATAATCGTTAACTATATATCGATCGATTATCCATAAATATCGGAATATTGGAAAAGTAAGTTTGAGCAAAAATGCCATAAATATTTGATAGAAATTAATATACTTTACATCACTGGTGAGTCGTGACATGTTTTTGCATGGATTATTTACAAAACAGCACCCTGAACATAATTAAGAAGCAGACGATGAAAAAAGTCTTAAATTTGTATGTTGTGTGAGAAAATTAAAACTTTCTTCTATCACAAAAGTCACACAGTTTTCTTATCGAAAATCATTAATAATGTTTCCTATCGATGATATTTCCGATTATCGATTAATTTAGCCAGCCCTTCATGTATTATTCACCATTCCATTCATTCTGCAACGTTGACAAGTTGACGTCAGTTGAGGTGAAGGTCAGGGCAAAAGTGCAGAAGAGCCCACAGGTATTAATCCACCATAGAAGCGAGTCCTATATCCTGTGAAGACAAGGCTAACCTGAAAACCTCGATTTTACCTTGTAAACCGATTAGCATAGAATCTGTAAAGTCCGGTTATGAAACTGTTTCAAATCTAAGAAACGGTAGCAAAGTAGGTGTTTCAAAAGCTTATGTAATTAACAAACGACTAGTATTAAACGTGTTCTGTTATGTAATTAAAATATTAAAATTGTTAAAACGTCTGACGTAGTCAATGGTTTCAACGTATGTACATAGCCTGTGGCTTCATTAACTTTAAAATTTCAATTAATATCATTCATCTGATACTGTATGCTTAACTGACACTAATTCCAATACGCCGATGGCATGATAAACTTGAGCATTTCGTCATGGAGACGATGGCATTTTGAAAACGTCAGCTTTTCCTTACAAAGAACATTTGTTCTCTCACTAATGTCATTCACTGGTGATACAGTGAGATGAAATGTGTTGAAACATTCTGTAAACTGGAGCTTATGGTTTATACACGACAACTAGAAAACAGGCTGTTAATAGGTTAACAAGTGATATTTTGTTTTGTAATAGTCACCATAGTGGGCTTCATCAATATGAACCCGGGAATATAACTAAGGTGTTAAAAACTTCAGTATATTTTTGTTAGGCTATTTATTGTAAAGTGAACGGGGGCGTGTGTGACAATCACGCTTGCTGTCTTCTCGACTTTTCGTTGCTTGTGGATAACATTCTGAAAAACTATGTTTTTCGCAGTCACCAAACCTAAAATGTGACATTCGACTCTTGCCCATTCTCGATTATCCTGTCTGTTTCATCTTGATGGAGGTCCTGCAACCATATTATACCAGATAACAGAAAGTGACGTCACCATCACCATCACCATCACCGTCACCGTCGCCCAGCACCTTTTCACAACCCTTCTGTCCAACGTAAGTGTAATGACAGTAAACAGACTCCACATTGGCGTTATGTCCTTTGTAGCTTATCAGCGTTTCTGCGGCATTTGTCATAATAAAATCGAAATATGATTTCCAGTATTATCGATTATGTAGATGAACATTATAGAGTGGTTATGTTGAGAATTAATATATCTTGAAAGTTAACTTTGCATAAGTTATACATTTGTACACGAGAACAGCAGAGTATGGCTGGTCAGAATATATTTACAAAGTATCTCAGCAACTGCGCGCAGATATTGAAGCGTGATACATAAATGTTACATTTAGAAGCGTCAGAGCCAAGCAGAGATACAAATTGACAATGTCCATGCATCATTACCACTCGCAGCTCTTAAAAACCAAAGCGTCTATCGTCTAATTAGATATACTTTGTCAATATTTTACAGATGTTTGAAATAACATCTACATCTAATCTCATTGTGTGACAAAGTTGATATTGGCTGTTACAAGATGAGATTTTACCGGAAATGTAAATAAAATACAAATGTTCTATTACTTTACATTTTTGGCGTATATTTCAATATAAAATAGTTTTAAAGTGCTGAAGTTTTGATGTACCAACATTCCCGACAGGTCATATTGATACACTCGAGTGATAACACATATAATGACGAGGTATTGAATTCCCTGAGCAGCTGCATTTCATTTTTAGCACGTATGTATAACATTTATAACCTACATTCACTCTAAGTTTTTCATGCCTATATGTCATGCCTTTCGCTGCTTTTCAAAGTCACATTACATTCACTACTATACTGAGAATATTAAGTTTCTAGTTCTGTACAGTGAAAGTTTTGAAAGCAAACTTGATCAAATTCAGCGTAACTCTATCCAATGGTAAAATATTGTGAATAATACATTTTACAAATATGAGTGTTTCGTTTTGGATTTTGTTTTAAGCTGCAATCAAGTCGCTTCGCAAAAAAATGTCTATTTGCTTCGGCAACACAGGGGCGGTGGGGTAGCCTAGTAGTTAAAGCGTTCGCTCGTCACGCCGAAGACCCGGGTTTGATTCCCCACATGGGTACAATGTGTGAAGCCCATCTCTGGTGTCCCCCGCCGTGATATTGCTGGAATATTGCTAAAAGTGACGTTAAACCATACTCATGTAAAGAATTGTGAACACCAACAGTAGACTACAAAAATGACTGATACCTTCCAAGCCATACATACATGAAATTACACATCAGTGAAATGCATTACACCAGATTAGCAGAGGTCTGTGATCTATGATAAATGATCAAACCTGAAAAACGTGCAGCAATAAAGTGCTGCTATTTACCATTGTGTTAGCGTATTAGTCAAGCTTCGTACTGTACGAGACCCGTGAAGGTTCGGGTTAGAATATTGATCTTCAGTAACCCATGCTTTTCCTAAGAGGCGACTACTGGGATCGGGTGGTCAGGCTCGCTGACTTGGTTGACACATGTCATCGGTTCCTAATTGCGCAGATCGATGCTCATGCTGTTGATCACTGGATTGTCTGGTCCAGGCTCGATTATTTACAGACCGCCGTCATATAGCTGGAATATTGCTGAGTGCGGCGTAAAACTAAACTCACTCACTCACTCGTACGGTACGCTACGTTTGTAACGAACACACTTATCACGATCTGACGAATATAAGAAATATAACAAACTGGTCACTAGCTGTCAATATCAATCGAAATGTGTATGACGAACTCCTGTTGAAAAGAAAACAATAGTGTTGATTATTAGATTTAGGTAAAACCGTAATTTACTGTATATGGAAACGGGTGGTGGGGCAGCCTAATGGTTAAAGCGTTCGCTCGTCACGCCGAAGACCCGGGTTCGAATCCCCACATGGGTACATTGTGTGAAGCCCATTTCTGGTGTCCCCCGCCGTGATGTTGCTGGAATATTGCTAAAAGCGGCGTAAAACCAAACTCAGTCAGTCAGTATATGGAAAATATGTAGAGACATGTAAATATGATAATATCTACGTAAATATATATGATTAATAATCAATGACACACCTATATAAATTGAAGTATAATTCAAGTAGTTGAATAAGAGAAAATATAAAAGGAATTTCACTGCCATGATTCATGATACAAAGGTGATTAGTGTATATTAGTGAGATTCTATTATTTCACGAAACCAGAGTGTCTACTTGGAAGATATCAATAAAACGACTTATTTCCTAGTTCTTGGATTATCTGTTAGCGGTTCCCCAACACATTTACAGCCGTCATCATATATATATGTACTCCATACAGTGATATTTTACCTGATATGGATTTTTCTTGCCACCCTGATATGGGCAGGATCGGCATGGTCATATCTGGCCCGCTGGGAGGAGGGAAGATCTCGATATCTTCCCCGTCAATTTTGTACACGACGTCACGGAACGTTAATGAATCGAATGACGTCACATCCTTTGATCATGGCCGGGGAAAGGACGCTAGCGTCTTTATCACGACGATTGCTTCAACTGGAAGATTTAGTGGAGAGGGAGGAGGAAGGAAATATGGAAATCGAAACGAAGCGGTATGTTGAAAGTGTATTTCTATGTTTTCTGAGTTTATTAAATTCATTGAACGGAATATTTGTCTTTGCTGTTTGTATCAGCTATTTCTTAATAAACAACGTGTATCTGGGCAAAGAGATAAATATATATATATATATATATATATATATATATATATATATATATATGCATATTATGATTGATATCTGCCTTCAACATGTCATAATGTGCAAGTCAGCAAAAGCTCTCTGATCATATTATGATCCTTAACACATACTCTCAAGCTGTAATCTGATTTTCTCTTCACAGTTGAAAAAAAAAAAAAATCAGAACAAAAAGAAATCTTCTTAACCTTGAAAATCAAAGTGTTCACAGCAAGTTCCATTTCTCCAACATTGTTCTTAAACGTTGGGTTTTGCCAGACTCGCAGAGTGGAAGTGAGCAAATTGGGTCATCGATATCTTTCTTTTAGATCTGGGCGTATTAGTTTAACAGGATGTATATAATATTTCCGACTTTGAGAAAACCCTGGAACATTGGTTTGGTGCTGGTCCTTCAAGGGCCATAATAGGGAAGAGATTCGACACCAAGAGATTCGAGCGAATGCTTTAAACCAACCATGCCAGCTGACATTGGCGGCCACAACACACTGTACAATGACTCCCTCGTCAAAGCAATAATTTCAAGTCATCGACGACTAGATCCATTAAGTCGCCTTTTGCAGTAAGCATAAATTGATCGAGACTATTTCCACGTCGTACGTATGGTTTCTATTCCATTTATTTCAAAACACGAACACTTGGAGTTGGAGTTGGTATTGAGAGTATATTTATTAACTTTACGTAACATCATGCAGAAGTACGTGTAACAGTCGTGATTTTTTGCGCCATTTTAACTATCGTTGGTCATTGCTTCAAAAGAATATATATACATATACAATAACAATATCAACAACAGCTTGTCGGAAAACGATCTCACTTTTCTACGTGAATGAAGTGAATGGACGAATTGATTTTAATACAGCAATAATCCACCTGCAGCACGGCTATGGGAACATTTGGTTGATAGCATTTTGTTAATAAATATACAGTAACAATCAGCCAGGTCATACCTCGCACCCACCTAATCTAGACCATAGTCCACTCTTGCGACTAGGTACTGGTACATATTAATCAGGAATCCCGACCGAGGTCTTAACATATAACCATGCACTGGATAATTTGAACCACTAACACTAAAGCCCTCTTGTAAGAACCTGCACACACCCATATAGGTCTTTGAACATAAACTACTTTATCATGTAGCAAACACATGTTCCAATATGGGATAGACCATTTTGTTTGGTTGGTTGGTTGGTTGGTTGGTTGGTTAACGCCGCATGCAGCAACATGCCAGCAATATGGTGGCAATCTGTAAATAATCTAGTCTGGACCAGACAATCCAGTGATCAATCATCACAAGCATCGATCTACACATTTCCCACAGGATGATTTGTGTCAACCAAGTCTGCGAACCCGTTAGTCGCCTCTTACGAGCATGGGTTGCTGAAGACCAACTCTAACCCCCATCTCCAGCCATCATCAGCTGCTCATTACGGGGCCTTGCGTATTCCTTCCTCAGGAACTCTATAACCCAAAGAACCCGGAAGACTATATGGCTGCGTTCGACAGCTTCACTCCTGAGAGTTTCTTGGGCTTTCCCAAATGTTCTCAGTGTCTTTGGTTTGGTACATCCAAATCTGTTCACTGACATAGGGAGCGTACGCGTGTTTACTGCCAGGTCCACAACCCTCCTGACAGTCTGGGCAGTACAAATGCCATAGTGTTTCTGATCCTCACATTATCCAAGACGTTCATTGTGGGTTCGACTGAGTGTACATCCTAGGCGATGTCTGGGCTGAGTTGTCAAGGGCCCTGAGCCTAACTAGTCTGACTGTGCCAGGATCGCCCGAACCCCCTTTACTGCATTTATTCATTTAATTAGTGAAAAATGTTAACGATAACGATAACGATAAATTCCGTATTGTGGCTGTAAACCGTCAGGTGCCTGAGAGGCAACTTAAGTTGTATATTCCGCATGGAGCTGAGAAGGAATATCGAGTTAACTATAAGCAGTGATAATTGTAATCATTACCTTTAATTCAAGTTTAAGAGCAGATAAAACCCGAAATCTTAACCACAAGAGATTATTATACAGTAATATCAGTAAAACAATAATCAATTTGAAACAAGACGTAGGATGAAACAATATGAAGCATGACGTGAGATGAAATAATATGAAACCAGACGTCGAGTGAATCAATATGAGCTAGACGTAGGATGAAACAATATGAAGCATAACGTAGGATGAAACAATATGAAGCATGACGTAGGATGATACAATATGAAGCATGACGTAGGATGAAACAATATGAAGCATGACGTAGGATGAAACAATATGAAACAAGACGCAGGATGAAACAATACGAAGCATGACGTAGGATGAAACAATATGAAGCATGACGTAGGATGAAACGATATGAAGCATGACGTAGGATGAAACAATATGAAGCATGACGTAGGATGAAACAATATGAAGCATGACGTAGGATGAAACAATATGAAACAAGACGTAGGATGAATAATATGAAACAAGACGTAGGATGAAACAATTTGAAACAAGACGCATGATGAAACAATACGAAGCATGACGTGAGATGAAATAATATGAAACCAGACGTCGAGTGAATCAATATGAGCTAGACGTAGGATGAAGGAATATGAAGCAAAACGTGGAATGAAGCAATGTGAAACAAGACATAGGATGAAAAAATATGAAACAAGGGGTATGATGAAACAATATAAAACAAGACGTAGCACCATGACGATGACATACATAGCTGATTTCTCTATCAGTGATCTGACTAGAATAACACATATTGAACAAATATATGTGCATATATACAAATCTAAAGTTATTTACATTTCTAAACAAATACTTAGCCAGGTAATGACACGATATGAACTTACACACATGAGATGATATGTTACAATTTTTAATAAAGCTATGTGTTCTTTTCTTAATGCCGTGTAACTGGTATTTTAGAAGTTTGGGAGAAACACTATTGGCGAGAAACTTTTATGGCAACATGAAGAGATTGCCATTCATAAAGGTACTGTTTAAGCCGATAGTCATGTGTTATCATTTGAATCAGATAGCAAGCTTTTTCTCTAAAAAAATCAACAGTATGTAGATACAGATCAAGATCTGTCTATGATCAGGCAATATCTTCATGCACGATCATGAGTCATATAATGATGCGTGGCATATGAGACATAATAACACGATGCGATTTGAAAAATAGCACGCCGAAAACATGTTTCTTCACGTGAGGAATCAAAGTCCACATCGAAACCTATTACACTCAAACACTAAATCGGTTATTTTATACAGAAATAACTCTGTTTAGCCGGATGGATGACGTCAAAAATTGTTCCTCCCGCAGTGATAAGGCGGAGGACAAAGGTTCGCCTTGCAGGACTCCACGTTGTTACCGCTGTTATGTCTGACGAGGCATGGCTGCAAAATAGATGGCACATGTGGGTTTCTATTATCTAGCGTAGGAGGACACGTGTAAGTGGGATAATTTATGTAAAACTGTTACATATATGAATGGTTGTTCTAAGGGGGGTTTAGGGATCAGCATAGACACTGTTATGAAAGACGTTTCTGTGGTAAAGTAGACTGTAACCACACGGCAGTAGTCCACCACCACAAATAGTTACGGTCATTGGTATCTGAGCGGTCTGAGCTCTTGTGTATGTACGTATTATTCTGACGTGGAATGTAAATCCAGTTCCTTATCGTTCACGACAAACTACAAAGAACAGATATACCCATTTTGCGTCGAATACCTATCAGCACTTACCGCCCATTTGTGAACACAAACTGCAATAAAGGTTTTCCCAAATACAAATACGATAATGATAAGTAATGAGTAGTAAGTTGTCTTTAGTTTCGAAAATGAATCATATCTTATAATTATAAGTAGATAATAATATATGACTTTGTCAATATAGTTCGAATTCGTAAATGAAAGTATGACTTTGTAACAAGGTATTAAGTATATCAAGAAGTCAATGGTAGTCCATGCCAGTTTGAATGTTCACATAACTACAAAATTAAATGTTTTCTGTGTCTTGAATTGGCAACGATACTTTTCAAAAGACAAAATGTTGCAAAACAAATAACATTGTTTGTTTTCAAACTCGGTCTACGACTTGAATATATTAAAATACTGCACAGACACTTTTCACTAAATTGACATAAAAAAGAATGTAAGCTTTCCTTATATTTGTTACCCTGTTTTTACCTTCTCTTTAAGAGCTAGCAGCTGCTGGTCACGTGATTGTGACGTCAGCAATCAATAATGCCATCATCGTGTCTATCCTGATAGCCGGAGTCATTAGATGAACTGTGTATGCTTGTCTTCCGAGTGCGTATGCTGTCCTTGCTAAAATCTGAAAATAAAGCAGCGACAAAGAGGTGTATATTAATACTCTTTCGCAAATGAACTACATTATCTCTGAAACAGCAAAACAGCAAATTCACGATGAGTTTAACTCAGTACGCCCTGATGGGATTCCGGGTCGGAACAGGTAAGCAGCAACCAATAACTGAATAACATGGGGATTGGTTGTTTAAATTGAATCACTGCGTCATGGAACAATGTTCATACTATCAACCACTGGTTGTCTGGCCAGGACTCGATGATTAACTCGTCGCAGTAGTTATATATTGGTCCATTGTCACTGAGTTTTACTGTACAATAACGGGCGGTGGGGTAGCCTAGTGGTTAAAGCGTTTGCTCGTCACGCTGAAGACCCGGGTTCAATTCCCCACATGGGCACAATGTGTGAAGCCCATTCCTGGTGTCCCCTGCCGTGATATTGCTGGAATATTGCTAAAAGCGGCGTAAAACCCAACTCACTCAGTCACTCACGGTACATTAGTTTCGGATGTTACTTTAAGCTCCTTGGGGAGGAGTGTCCCCCGCCGTGATATTGCTGGAATATTGCTAAAAGCGGCGTAAAACTAAACTCAGTCAGTCAGTCCTTGGGGAGGTAGGGCAACATTTATTGTATACGCCCTCCTCTGTAGTCTAGTGGATAAAACGTCTGCCCAGAAAGCATATATGGTTTAATTCCTGGTCGCGTCACACCAAAACACGTTAACAGGTGTCTGTTTTTCTTAGACTCCCTGGCGCTTGGTTTTAATAAGCTTAACAAGGAATGGTCGATCGAGAGTCATACTTTGTCTGAGTGGGATCTCCATCTTAAAGTGCCGCACGGTATCTCAGAGGGCTAGCATCTGTCCAGAACAGTGCACGTTGCTGTATGACTGCAATAATCTTAACGCGATGCGCAACCCCATTGCACCACACCATCTCAACTTTGTTGTTAGACCAAAGAGCAATGGCCGTTGTCAGCTTCCGTTATGACAACATATAAGGGGACTACACAATCAGCTCATAATATCCTAAGCTTATTACCTGAACAGAGATGTTTGACTTGGCTGCTACAGCACTACTGCCCTGAGGACATTCCTAGGTTCCCAGTAACTTATGTCTTGTCTTATGAGCCGTGAAGATCCAGGTTACAGCAACACATGCTTGTTGTAAGGGTGAGTGAGTGAGTTGGGTTTTACGCCGCTTTTAGCAATATTCCAGCAATATCACGGCGGGGGAACACCAGAAATGGGCTTCACACATTGTAGCTTGTTGTAAGAGGCAACTAATGCGATCTGGTGGTCAGACTCGATGAGATGGGCGATGCTTGTCCTCGTATCACAGTTATGTATATCGAAGTTCATGATATCAGTCTTTGGATTGTCTGGTCCAGACTAACTTATTTACAGCTGTCATATTATTATGCAGCCGCCATATAGCTGGAATATTGCTGAGTGCTGTGTTCAACAACAAACACACTACAAGGCGTTATACTGGATCTCGCTCTTTGTTGCGATTTGATGGGATTGCGCGTAATCATACCCCCGTGACGTGGCTATTTGCTCATTATATCAATTATTGGACTATATGTCCCAGGCTCGTCAAATATTTACAATCATCTGTTGTACAACAGGGGCATTTCTGCATGAAACAACTAAACAAAACATTGACAAAGACTATTGATAACAGTAAGTAGAATTTTATAAAACAAATTTCAATTTATAAAATTATAAATCTTCATTGTCTAGTTATAAAATGTGTACGTTCTTCATAACTACTCAATGGTTATCTACTATGTTCTGTTGTTAAAAACGAAATAGTTTCACACACTAGTTGCCACTGATGACTGTTGCAACTTAAGACCATCAACTATCATAAAAACAGTTACTGAATAACTCCCGCAATGATGCAACCAACCATTCTAACTACTCTCGAAAATCTTTGAGGTAACGCCATGTTATAATTGAAACATTAATATTATATCCGTGTACCTGTAATCTAAAGCCTAGTTGAACAACAATACCATATGTAGATATATCCTTGAAAAAGAAGTGAGTGCAAGCTGAAGAGACACATTCACATGTTTTCTTTTAAGCAGACACACACACGTACGTATGCAAGCGCGTCGTGTGCATTTACGTAAAGCCATATATTTGTCCGACAAGACGTTTCCGTCATAGCATAGGCTTTGTCGTTTACGTTTGTCACTGGAATAGTAAACATAAGACGGGAAGCTGACTGGTGATGCAGACAACAATACCAGGTGCTTAATTAGTCTGCTAGCATCTCTACAACAACATATATGTACAGACATGCGTCAGAGGATTTACAGGTGTCTTGACAAGTACGTCACTTACCTGTACTATTTGTTATAGTTGCACGGAGCCTTTAAAACCATGGCAACCAGATCAGTGTATATGTACATGTCATTGGAACAATGTCAAGATACAGCTCAACAAATACTTTAAATAATATTATTTTCTGACTTAAATAGACTGAAGATACTTTACATGCTCTCTGATATACAACTACAACTTATCTTTAAAGTTACATGCTCACCTAGCGATGAGGGATGTGTTACATCCATTTATGATTAACATGGTACATTGCTGAAACCAGTCATCATGATCCCTTTTGTACTTTAGATATTTCTAGTCTATTTCTGTGAGTTGGATTACAGTTCTCTCACAACTTAAAAAGGTTGCACTATAAAATTAACAAACTATCAACTTAACAAAACATTATGCATCAGTTCAGCAATTTTGTGGTTTGTTTTTTAGAATATCATAATTTGAATTTTCGAAATATGATATATTGTAACAGGACGATCAAATGACAAGTTCCAACTGTAATCAATTTTACCATTATGGCGTTATGACATACATAGCTAGGAAACTACCTATGTTATCTTAACGTGTCTAATGACTTGGTAAAGTGCGTCATATTCAGCCTGTACTTTATTGTTGCATTGTTGTCGATGAAGGTGCTCACCTGGTAATGATGTATAGGCGTCAGTACCCGCCTCCACATCCTGTAACGTTACTTCAAGATTACGAATCTGTGCGTCACCATTGGTCAATATGTGTATGTGTTTCTTAGCTGACAGATTGTCGATCTTGTCCTTGTTGGTCATCATGCTATCATCTCGACCGATCAACCAATACGTGGTCATCTCCCCTTTGCCCTGAAATACAGACGTTGTTTTATGTCACGATGTATGAATCAACGCATTCTTACAGATTGTTTGCTCCGAACCATCAGTCGATATATTGTCTACAGGGATATTACGTTGGAAAAAAATATTTAAAAAATTAAAAACTGACATATGTTTAACCAAAATTTAAACGGGTTCTTTTGTACAAGACAAAACGTATTAGCTTCAACTTGATATTCTAAATTAATTGTTAAATTCAATATGCATTTTACAGATTCAGGCTGATGTTTCTCGTAGACTTTGAACAATCGTAATTAAAAACATCTCAGCTGAACGTCAAAATACAGAATTAAATATTTTTGTCACCGGTACGTCAAATTGGAGGATTTGATAATGCAATTATTTTTACGACGAACCTTGATTGGTATTGTTCCTCTCTTGGTGCATATGTACCCGCCAAACCTGTCCAACTCATCGTGTGTGAAGCTACTTATATGGATCTTGTAAGCTGGTGGACGAAAATAGCATCAGTATATAGTAGGGAATCTCAAGAGGCAAACAGTATATATAAAACGTAAATCCCAGACAATAATTAGTCACGACTCCCTTCAGTGAGTGGGTGAGTTTAGTTTTTACGCCGCTTTTAGCAATATTCCAGCAATATCACGGCGAGAGACACCAGATACTACCTTCATATTCCATCGTGCATAAAAGGTAAAATAGTTATAACTATATGACTGGATAATTCTTAATTAGTGTGTACACCAGGTTTTATGCAAATGGTAAGCACATCCTGCCCTACGGGTAGCAGTTTGCATAGAAAGTGTTTGGTGTTTGGCACTATTGGGTTATCATAGCGTTGTCTGTATTCACTGGGTTTCAACAATGTGAGAAAGGTCATTTTGGACTTTCTTCCGACATACAAATGACACGAGTTTAAAATATCACTCATTCACCCATTCACTCACTCACTCACTCACCTTCTCCGTTCGACTCCATCCGTGAGGCTGTGTTGACCGTGTCCCCAAACAGACAGTAACGTGGCATCTTTAGGCCCACCACTCCGGTGCAGACGGACCCTAAAGGAGGTAGACAATAAAAGTTGTTCACTGGTCACGAGGGGGCATGGGTTGATGTACCCTCGAAAGCGGGGCTGCTGTTCTGTACTGCTTAGGAGGGTTTTTTTTGTTTTGTTTCTTTGTTTTGCTGTTGTTTTTTTATGTTGTTTTGTGTATGTGTGTGTGTGTGTGTGTGTGTGTGAGAGAGAGAGAGAGAGAGATACAAGTGGGAGATTATTTTAAGAGTAATCAGGTTATTTCATTCATTCGTATTTCTTTCCAGTGTTTTTGCAACTTCCCCTGTAGACTAACTTCCTATACACCGCTGATGAAATGTCCTTGTAACATAAGTTTTTGTATGTAAATGAAATTTTCAGTGATCAGTGTGTAAATAAATACAATATGTTTTCAAAAACTGCATCATGTATGAAATGGTGGCATTGTCCGATTTTCGATGTTTATAAACTACTTGTGATTCAATGTTAACGTATAAGCCATACAAATGGTGGCATTGTCCGATTTTCGATGTTTATAAACTACTTGTGATTCAATGTTAACGTATAAGCCATACAAAGGTATACAGGGTTATGTTTCTGTGGGGGTTTTAAAGTTTTACACTCCTGTTGTTGTTTTTCAGTGGCTTGACGCTTCATTAGAAGCATATTGTAATGGTCTACAGCTATCCGATATAATACAAGTATCTATCATTCTGTCTGACTGCCTTGGCCGTTATGCACCCCTATTTGGTCGACTCACCTGAATGCAGACCCACCCTGATCCTGAGAAGTTCATCAGGCTTGTGTGGGATGATGAAGCTACGACTCGCCTCCACAAGGTCGAGAGCCATGTTGGCAATTTCACATGCATGTTCGTCTGTCTTCTTCGGCACCCCCGACACCACCATATCTGTGAGGGTTAGAATCGAACTATAATGACAACGGCCCTGCACAATCATTTAGGAATATGTGCATTTGTTGAAAGCCAGTTTAGTCTATGAAATAGGTAACTGAAGATACGTGTTACAAGGAAAGTAATGTTCGAGAAGAAAGACATTCTTCTGAGTTAAAACATTTCATTATGAAAATACACACTAGTGTATCGAGGGTGAGGGATGGTTTAACCAGGGTGTAACGACTGGACGTAACACATTGTTTCCATATTGGAAACAGAACCCGAAGTTTCACCTGTTGGGAGGATACCCGTGAAGATAAAGTTTACTCCTGGGGCTGAGCTCGTCAGATGCTATTTTCTTGACGTGACGATAATTACCCAGTGAATTGGAACGTAAGCCTTCGTAAATGTTTATCATTCGTCTAGATAATGAGTTTCGTAGACAATGTTTCTACTGAAGACAGGCATTTCATGTAAAAATGAGCGGTGCTTTTCCTATTTTGCACTATATTCTACCCCAGAAAGATCCGAGTATAACCGACCCTTGAAGATCCAGGTTAGAATAGATCTTCAGTAAATCATGCTTGTCGTATGAGGCGACTAACGGGGTCGGATGGTTAGGATCGCTGACTCGGTTGACACATGTCATCGTATCCCAATAGCGTAGATCGATGCTCATGCTGTTGATCACTGGACTGTCTGGTCCAGACTCGATTATTTACGGACCGCCGCCATATAGCTGGAATATTGATGAGTGCGGCGTTGAATCACATCCAACCAAACTACTGAGTGGCACAATACGGCTTTACTTATTCACACCTTGTACCAGTGGTTCTCTCATCTACAGACCGCCTCCGTGGTGTAGTGGTTACAGCGTCCGCCCGGAGAGTGTCCGAAGGTCGCGGGTTCGATCACCGGTCGCTTCATACCAAAAGACGTTAAAACATGGTACTTGTTGGTCCCTGCCTGGCTCTCGGCATTAATGGGTACAACAAGGACTGGTCAGTATAATGTGTCTGAGTGGGGTATTCATGCTTCACTGCGGCATGGTATCTCAGTGGGCTAGCACTATAAAACCAGCTAAAATCTGGGCTAGTACAAGCAGCCGCACATACACATACACACGCATGCACGTCGTCATATGAGCGAAATATTCTCAAGCACGACGTTAAACCCAATTTCACCTCACCTCACCTCTCATTTACAGAATGCTACATTGGCTGCAATGTTGACACATATTTTACGAGTGTTTTCTCCAATATTGGCATCCAGTGAGTGAGAAAGGGTTATTTTCAACACTATCACGGCGTGTTAGCTTGGTGTTGAAGGAAATCCTGAAGTAACGAGGCCTTCACACGTTTCCCGCTTTGGTCTCGTTTACCGCTCGAGGTATGATGATAACATACACAGAGACGAGACGTGTCAGGGTGAACAGGAATCCCAGCCAACGATACTTTGTTTCTGTCACACACAAGGTGTGTGTACTTAGTTTTACGCCGCTTTCAGCAATATTCCTACAAGGGACGGACGCCAGAAATGGGCTTCACACATTGTACCCACGTGGGGAATCGAACTCGAGTCTTCAGCGTGACGAGCGAACGCTTTAACCACTAGGCTACATCACCGCTCACACACAAGGTACAGCGATAGGGGTGTCTTTGATTGGTTCACCCGTGACCCTCTTTGATCCTGAGGATAATGTCTCATAAACGATGCAATGTGTGATAGACTATAGTAACTACATGAAAAGGCATCAAAATATAGTTTCAAAGTCTCCTGCATGGCTAGAGAACGATTTCCGTACTTGGCTACCATGCCACTCTAAGAATCAGATTAAAAGATAAATGTCGACCGTGTATAAATTTATTATGTCTAGTAACTAACTGGTGAAATCAACAACAGTCTGCTTCTAGAATACCCTCGGGCATTATCTAACAAGTTACATGCTACTCTACCAATAACAGTGTATTTGACTCCAATGCAATGATAGTTGGTTGGTCGTTGTTTAACACCGCACTCAGCAATATTCCAGTTATATGGCTACGGTCTGTCAATAACTGAGTCTGGACCAGACAATCCAGTGGTCAACAGCATGAGCATCGATCTGCGCACTTGGGAACCGATGACATGTGTCAACCAAGTCAGCGAGCCTGACCACCCGATCCCTTTAGTCGCCTCTTACGACAAGCATAGTCTCCTTTTGTGGCGTTTAACACCGCACTCAGCAATATTCCAGCTATATGGCTACGGTCTGTAAATAACTGAGTCTGAGACAATCCGGTGAGTATCGATCTACACAACTGGGCCCCGTTCCTCAAGGCAATCGTAGCCGTTAGATGATCGTAATCCCCAACATAGACTTACGACTGTCGTAGCGCTACGATCGCTTTGAGGAACGGGGCCCTGGGATCCGATGACATGTGTCAACCAAGTCACCGAGCCTGACCACCCGATCCCGTTAGTCGCTTCTTACGACAAGCATGCGTTGCTGAAGACCAACTCTAATCCGGATCTTCACTGCAATGATGACAGCAAGAATGCACTTACATGCATCGCCGATGGTTTCGACCTTGTAGACATCGTGCATATCTATTATGCCGTCGAACGTGGTGTACAGCTTATTGAGGAGGGCAACCACCTGTATGGGCGTGCTGCTCCCCGATAGTGTTGTAAATCCAACAATGTCGCTGAAGAATATCGTACAGGCATCAAAACTTTCTGCTGATATTGGTTTTCCCTGCCTCAGTACATCCGCCACTGCCATTGGAAGCATACCTATAATATAGAACAAATGAATATTGTTTAACGCTATGAATATTGGTTAATGACTGTTTTATGTACGCTGGCCATCAGGTCCGGTCAAACCAGTGGGTGACAGCATGAGCAAATATCCAAGACGACTGGGAGCATTCCGTCAGGTGGATATAGGGGTGGTACCTGTACATGGTAACAATCACTCTAGTCTTTTCTTGTGACATTTGCATAGCATAGAGTTACAATCATTTTATCGCTGAGGCAAAGCGGGGAGGAGCGGGACACTGGATTGGGAAACCCGACCTTTGAAATGCCATAACGAAATAGGTAGTTGCCGTTCGTGAGCGTACACATCTAAATAATGGATTTTATGCTATTAAGAATCATCAATCTCACAAATTTCTGAATAACTCTTTCCATCAATCTCAACGTTCTGATTTTATTTGTTTGTTGTTTAACGCTGCTCTCTGTAATATTCCGATTCAGTACGGAAGAAAGATACATTTTTCAATGAACAAATTATAACAGGTATAATTAGTGGTAACACCACTTAGATTACCCGACAAAGGTTGTCTGGAGTAAATGCTCAACATTATAAACATCGATCAAAGGATTAACCGATTAACCGATAAGACGCTGATTGATTAATTACTTTTCTCTTGCACAGCGGATTTGTCAAAAGGTAGTGTTTATGTATGTAGATTTACTAATCTATACTGAATACACTCTGTCGTGTCTGTGTCTGCGAAAACACAACGTCCTTCTTTCAAAGGATTAACCGCCAATACATTGATTGATTGCTCATTATTGCCTAACTAAATTCCTTTTTTCAAAGAAAGGCGGACATTATGCAATTAGTTGCCAGGTGTGCTATCTTGGGTGACCAATGAGACTATACACCAATGTGAAATACCTGAAACGATATGTCACCTTTTCGTATATTAAACTGTTAAAAGACACATCACTTGGAACAGCTGCAGATGAATGGCAAATCACTCGTTTTTGTGGATATTGATGGATACATTCCTCGAACAAGGTAATAGCCTGACATTGTTCCTATAACTTTAATCTGTTTTAATTTTAATATTTGCATTTGGTTTTTATTCATTTGTCGTAGCATTCAACAGAATCATTGTTTTCGCCATTAAGTGTAATGAAACAGTAAACATACACTAGGGCGTGTGTGCGAATTATGATTCACATTGGCAAACGATAAAATTTCTAGATATTACAGTCCTGTTATAAAATCACATAAGTATCAGCAGATCGTCTGCTTTTTATTTAGTTTCAAAATGCATACACGTATGATAATAAACTGATTAGGATTAAAGACCAAATATAAAGACGTACATTGACTATTATCTACATACTGGTGAGTGGACGTTAACCACGTGAATGTAGCAAGAAATTTATCGCGCAGTGTTGTGACTTCGACCCCCACCTCGCTTCCGTGGAATAAATCGTTATGTTATAAGTTGTGTCATGCAAAATCCTTTTGGTCATGATTCAAATACATATTTAACTACGAGTAGAAAGTAGTTTTGATTTTCTAACTTGATGAAAACAAACCATAATCTCATTAATTCTAACAGACTTTAGCCCGTGACTTTACGATTTTCAAAAATGGCGGCGCCCTGTCGCGAACATACGCCAGTCTGAGGATAAATGCTATTTAGGTTTGTTTTCACCGAGTTACAAAATCAAAACTACTTTCTACTGATGGTAAAATATGTATTTGATTGATGGCCAATAGGATTTTTCATGACAAAGCTTATAACATAACAATTTCTCTCGTGGGAGCGAGGTGGGTGTCAATATAATACTACTTACAGTATTATTGTCACTTCGACCACAACCTCGCATCAGAGGAAGAAATCGTTATGCTACAAGTTGTGTCATGGAAAATCTTTATGGTCATCAATCATATACATATTTTACTACAACTAGTAAGTAGTTTTGATTCTTTAACTTCCGTGAAGCGATCTGAACACAAGTAAGATATCGTTTCAGGATTCCACAACGCTCGCTTCGCACTCACAGACATACACATATGGAGCTGCGGGGTACTGTGGAAATCTGTGCATGGCGACACCATCGCCCGACCCCTAGGAGCAATTGACGACAACGCAACGATTCGCCAAGTCTTCGTTGATGTCGAGAAATCATCAAAATGACGAGCTTGCTACACACTAGACTAAGGCTTAGTCTCTGAATATATATAATTTTGATAGTAACAAACAAGCCCATTTATATTGAAAAGGAGCCCTAGGGAGACCAGAGATTCAGCCTGAACCTGAGGAAATCTAGACTTGCTATATTTAGGGCTTGAGCACTGCAGAGAGGGCTTGGCAGTGGGGAAATTAATGTGGTTCTGGGACTGTGAGACAGACTAGCTACACACTTTCTATACAACTAACTGAAAATCCTTCCTCATATGACGTCACTGCAGTGCTCTGGCGACAGAGTTACGTAACCTGTCTGCGGTTTCGTTGGCGGGCGAGAGTGAAGCAGGCGACTTTTTGGCAACTTTTAATCGCTCGGTATTAATTAACCACAAGTTTTTTAAGAATAAATTTGGTGTTCCGCATAAGACTAACCACAAATCTGTAATATGTAATAGTTAAAAGAGTACAAAAAAGGTTTTTAAAGGTCACATGCAACCAAAAAATCAAACATAATTAAAACACAATTATCACTTATTCATGACATATAATATACTAGTACATTGCTGATTATGAAAAAACATATAAACAAAATTATAAGCGTACAATCGCAAATCAAAAGTGCAATATTTTGTACTTGGGTTTACTTCCCAAGAAACGAAGCAGCCGGGATACCGAACCCAGTCAGAGCGGGTTGGTGTGCACTCAAATGTAACGGCTGGTTCATTTGCAGATGCCCTCACGACTCATTGTGTGTGTGTATATATGGAGATGTTGGGTTTTGTAAACACGTGCTCATTTTTTGTGTATAACATTTTGCAATCAACAGACATCATAACATGTCATGTGTACATGTATCACACCTGCCTGTCTGTGTAATTACATAATGTGACAGAGACCGAACTCGGGCCATAAATCAATGCGTTTTGTTTATGGTGTATAGCCTGATAGGTGTTAAGTTCAAATTGCATGTGGTCAGTGATCGAAGTTGTGTATTGAATATTGTCATTAGCAGACAGGCAGGCAGACACATAGGTGTCAATAAAACAGACATTGAGTTTTGTCCGTGACAACGACATATCTATATCACAGTTAGAAATTCTGTCAACACTAAATAATGACATTACTTTTAAGTATCGAACTGAGAAAGTGACTCGGTAAGAAGAACGTGTGGTTAAATAGACAAATGAAATTATATAAACAGTTAAATCGGTAATCTACTGTCATAACATATAAAAAGCTCGCGCTTGTGAAATATCAACAAAACATTAGAAAATAAGCTCACATCAAAGCCTTCACCGAGTATTCACCGGACAACCCGCTTCCAAGCTGTGCGAACCTATTTCACTGCGCATGTTCTATGAGCGCAGCCCAGCTGTTGGAACCACTTTTCCCCCAAGCGCTGGGGGAAAAATTAGTGAATCGTTTGAACTCCGATTTCGCGCGTTTTTTTTACACCGCTTTATTTTTCAACTTTATAAGTTGAATTTGCATTTTTGATGATTTGTTTCGGTAAGTCCATACCGAAAGGTATCAGAATCTGCAAAGTTGTGTTTTACGTTGCATGTGACGAAATTGATGCTTTTTTAAAACAATAAATGTACTTGTTAAGTGAGGGGGTTGTTTTTTCCCACTGGACTCAGCAATTATTCAAGCAACATCACGGCACCTCAAGTATTCGAGAACCGACCATAGAATTCGTTTGATCAAAGACGCCAGACTGTTTCATATGGTGATCACTCCAGTTGTCTCCATGGACAAACAATCTGTTTTACATCACAACGTAGTATTCCTGTAAAATGGATATACTTTTCCGTGTTCCATTTAACCTTAGACTACCATCTTGATTTTGAAAATGCATAAAACATAACTTATACCGACATAGACAATCCATTTAACAATCCATGGCAAACATACATTGTCGAAAGGAAAGTAGTGAAGCGTACATAAAATAAGCTGGGGACGTACAAATACTTATTATTATTTTAGCAGAAAACCTTTCCCAGTGCGAAAGGGAAAATAATCTTACTGTATAAAAGTCGGTCTGTTTTCTGTTTTTCTGCATAAAGATCTTGCGTCCTCTCTGCTACCGTGGCTTCCAAATGTTTGGAATATTTCTCCATCTAAAAAGGAAACAGTCATGGTAGAACAATATATCTTTAAACATCAACAACACAATGTTACGGATTATAAAAAGTGAGTGTGAGTTTAGTTTTACGCCGCACTCAGCAATATTCCAGCTATATGGCGGCGGTCTGTAAATAATCACGTCTGGACCAGACAATCCAGTGATCAACAGCATGAGCATCGATCTACGCAATTGGGATACGATGATATGTGTCAACTAAGTCAGCGAACCTGACCATCCGATCCCGTTAGTCGCCTCTTACGACAAGCATGGGTTACTGAAGATCAATTCTAGCCCGTATCTCCACGAGTGATGATGAGAAGTAAAGCGTACATTAAGTCACTCTCTTACCATATTCATCATCAGGTCGACGGCGCTCAGTTTGTTGGGGTTTATTCGATGTAGTGTCTTCTTTGCAGATTCAAAGGATGGTCGAAAGTCGGGCTTTTGGTGCCAGCAACATTCAATTAACTGAACCAAAAATATAAATACTTAAATATCCTCATATTGTGTTAAGCGTGTCATTCGGTGAAATATAGACATGATATAATGGTTGTTTGGTTGTTCTTTAAGGCTTCACCCAGCAATGTTCCAGCTTGTTTGTGAACAACCGAGTCACAAGAGAATTTAGTGACTGACATCATGAGCATCAATCTACGCAATTGGGATACGATGACAAGCATCTACCACATCAGCAACCTTGGACGACAAGCATGGGTTGCTGAAGACCAGTTATACTCGGAGTGAGTGAGTTTAGTTTTACGCCTCACTCAGCAATATTCCAGCTATATGGCGGCGGTCAGTAAATGATCGGATCTGGACCAGACAATCCAGGGATCAACAGCATGAACATCGAAATTCGCAATTGATGACATCAACCAAGTCAGCGAGTCTGACCACCCGTTCCCGTTAGACGCTTCTTACGACAAACATGGGTTACTGAAGATCAATTTTAACCTGGATCTTCACAGGTCGGTTATACTCGGATCTCTCTGGGGTAGAATATAGTGCAAAGTAGTAAAAGCATCGTTCATTTTTACATGAAATACCTGCTTTTTCAGTAGAAACATTGTCTACGAAACTCATTATCGAGACGAATGATAAACATTTACGAAGGCTTACGTTCGAATTCACGGCGTAATTATCGTCACGTGAAGAAAATAGGATCTGATGAGATCAGCCCCAGGAGTAAACTTTATACACCATTATTGATATTCATGAAATAACTGACTAACGAGCAACAAACCCATAATCCTACTGACAATTAGAAGCAATCATATACTGGAACATGGCCATCTATACCTCTGTTTAATTGATGTGTCAATACGTCTTGATTCACCTGGTGTTTATCAGATATATATAAGCCGTCTTTATTAGTGATTCTACAATCTTGTAGAATGGCACATACGTACTCCCACCCACACTCTATACCTTACCTCTATGTTATCCTGTAGAATGGCACATACGTACTCCCGTCCACACTCGATATCTTACCTCTATGCTATCCTGTAGAATGGCACATACGTACTCCAACACACACTCTATATCTTACCTTTGTGATATCCTGTAGAATGGTACATACGTACTCCGATCCACACTCCATATCTTACCTCTATGATATCCTGTAGAATGGCACATACGTACTCCCATCCACACTCTGCACCATACCACTATGACATCCTGTAGAATGGCACATACGTACTCTCATCCACACTCTATACCTTACCTCTATGCTATCCTGTAGAATGGCACATACGTACTCCCATCCACACTCTATATCTTACCTCTATGACATCCTGTAGAATGGAACATACTCACTTCCACCCAGACTCTATACCTTACCTCTATGTTATCCTGTAGAATGGCACATACGTACTCCCGTCCACACTCTATACCTTACCTCTATGTTATCCTGTAGAATGGCACATACCAACTCCCACCCACACTCTATGCTTTACCTCATTGTAAACCTACGCAAAGGGACACACAACACCTACTCCATACTTTACCTCTGTATAATCCTCCGGGCAGGGACAAGCATTGTCAGGGTCCTTCTGCCCCCGTAGATCTGGAAGCAGGGGTCTCCAGTTAGTTGGTAGATTGCAAGGATCAGCGTCCTAAAACGTAGAACATTATAGAAACATGGATTGGTTATATAAAGTATTAGTTAAACATGATCTAGATTGAAACCTGATGCCAATGCATTCATGAACTTAACGGTGGCTAACCTGATAAGGATCATTCCTTGTAGCTATCTCGAGAAGAATGATAGAGAACGGGTAGACATCCGAAGCGTAGCATGGTTTAGCAGTGCGCAGCTTTATTTCGGGGGCGATGTAGACTGCGTTCCTCTTCTCTTGGTACTCCCTCTCCTCCTGGTCTTCCTTTGCCACATCCTCCCTCCTGTAGGTAGCTAGTCCGTAATCTGGTGAAAACCATGGACATCAACCGGTAGTACATTGTACTATATAACATAGAGAAAGCGGTATAGCCTAGTGGTTAAAATTCTCGAGTTCGATTCCTTCATAGGTCGTTGTGGCTAAGAGTTGCTTATTTGTTTGTTGTTTAACGCCACACTCTTAAATTGAGGAATGTAATTCCCACGGACATATGAGACAAGCTTTCTACCTTTAACTTACGGGCAGTGGGGTAGCCTTGTGGTTAAAGCGTTGGCTCGTCACGCCGAAGACTCGGGTTCGATTCCCCACATGGGTACAATGTGTAAAACCCATTTCTGGTGTCCCCCACCGTGATATTGCTGGAATATTGCTAAAAGCGGTGTAAAACTAAAGTCACACACACCTTTAAATTACGAGTAGGGTTGGTAATAAATTCTTTCCCAGATTTGTCAAATTACTGCATATCGATAAATTTAAGAAGTCCCACTAAAACTATCTTTGGAAATTGAAATTGAAATATTCCATGACAGGAAATTAACAGAACTTGATGTGTCTTCACTAGGGACATAGTTTCCATACATCAAGTGTTATCCGAAACAACGTGAAAACAGTGTAATGGTTTCCACATCATGTTTGTTTCAATTGTTTCAAGCTCTGGGCCTAGATTTTCGAAGCTGTCTTAGCGGTAAGATAGTCGTAACTGCCGTACATTAACATTAACTTACGAGGATTTTATGTTCAAACATATAATCGTCTATTTTGTCATGTGATTCAAAATCATATCTGGGACAATCTCGTTTGTCTCAAGGTGTAGTCTTATCGACCAAGTTCAAGGAGAGGCTCTTGAGACAAATTGGTTATTTGTAGGCCGGGTTCATTGACCAATCAAGACAAAATGGTGCTATGGAGGGCGGGTCAACGATATATTGATATTACTAGGCTACTTGTAAAGCGAGGTCGTTAAAAATGTTTAAAGATCTAATAGTTTGCTCCCAGCTGATTGATTTGCACTGGCGTCATCGGTGAGGTTTTGTCACACTCATTTACATTGACAACAACAGACGCACATCACACACACACACACATCACACACACACACACACACACACACACACACACACACACACACACACACACACACACACACAATGATTTTCAGATTTTACTGTGTTTACATTATGTGCTGTGATACTTATCAAAGCATTCTGGTTTTGAATAGTGTGAGCCTTACGATAATCAATTGGAATATGTCGCTTATATTCATCACCAGGCCATTACACTTTATGAACCAGGACGTGGAATACAAGGCTTCTAACTTCATGAATCCTCTCAGGGATACCATACACAACAATAGGCCTGATGTTAAACAACTTCACCCTCAAAGTAATGAATACGCAATGTTCTGAGGAGTCACGCACCTGTTATTTTGACTGTCCATCGATCGTCCACCACACAATTACTGGCCTTCAGACGCCCATGCAGGATCCGGTGACTGTGAAGGTAGCACATACCTCGAGCAATATCAGTAGCGAATGAAAACCTGAAAAAGAAATACCTTGTATTTTGCAGTCTATACAATACGAACAAAAGTCATAATTTCTAGTCAATGTTATCAACCAAAGGGCGGAAAAAACTCCGAGTATCGGCTCACTTTATGCTGAAATGAATTTTCATGCTGTATATTTTTGGCGGCGGTAATTATTGCTAGATCGGTATTATTAATATTAATTTTTATTTCCTTATTTCTTCGCAATTACAAAGACGTTAATAAACACGAAAAGAATTATTCATAAATCCAGAAATGTGTGAGCCTTACAATGATAAAACCCTTTGTTCTATTTCCTGGATGAATACAATGTGTGAATGCCATGTCTAGACTTGTTTATGCCATTGTTGGAATATTGCTGAAACTAACCGACAACCGTACCAGTCGTGCTCCCGACCATGTCCACAATACAAAGCTCAACCCTTCATTGAGACAGTGTTGTGCATTTTCAGATTCATTCTCCCGTTAGCATACACGTAGCCCCTTGTAGCCTTGGCTTGGCTTTTGTTTGTTGCTTTACGCCGCCCTCAGCAGGGTTCCTGTTATGTTACGAAGGTTTATTGAATATCAAATCTGGATCAGACAATCTGGTGATTAACATTATGAACATTGATCTACGTTATACGGAATACAAAGGGCTGTAATACAAAGAGTATCTCTAATTCAGATCCTCAAGAGTGCAACGGTTGTCGAATGACGCAACTAAATACAATGGTTTTCGTTATCGACGACTTGCTAGCGTGTCATCGTTCCTACAACCCAAGATCGATAACTTTTTCTGGTCCAGACTAGATTAATTACAATCCGCCGTTATAATACGATGGCATACAACCACTAAACCTTTACCACCTTGCCTCTCATGCCAGTATTCTTTCATAAACTCTCCGACCGCCACCGTGGTGTAGTGGTTAGAGCGTTCGCCCGGAGAGCGGAAGGTCGCGGGTTCGATCCCCGACCGCGTCCCCGACCAAATGACGTTAAAATATGGTACTTGTTGGTCCCTGCCTGGCGCTCGGCATTAATGGGTACAACAAGGACTGGTCGGCTCGGAGTAAGTATAATATGTCTGAATGGGGTATTCATGCTTCACTGCGGCATGGTATCTCAGTGGGCTAGCACTATAAAACCAGCTTCAGTCTGGGCTAGTACAAGTAGCCTCACATACACATACACACGCATGCACGTCGTCATATGAGCGAAATATTCTCAAGCACGACGTTAAACCCAATTTCACCTCACCTCAGCTCATAAACTCTCAACAACAATCTCTCTATAAAATAAACAACAACTCTTAATCGACATAGCCCGAGGCCTATTAAGTTTGTCCAAGATGTCACCAATCACAGTCATCCACCTATCCACAAATACAGGCTTTATTTGAGTTTAATCTATAACTGTTCAATAATTAGACAGGCACAATGAGTTGTGTGATACATGTTCTTCTATTCACAGTGTAATGAACCAGCTGACAAATTATTGTCCTTTAAAAGGTTGTAAAGAATCTCAATACAACCCCAAATTACTCTTATTTGTTAGTTTCAGTAAAACTGAGCAAATCTAGCAAACATACTTAATGCAAACGTATAACGGGAACTGTGATGGTGCCAATTTGCTTCATGAAGCAAGCTCTTTGTTCTTTTTCTGATGTCAATGTCATTACCTATCTTTTATTTAAATTAGCGTCTTTGCAAATACGAAAGATACGAAAATGTTTATTATTATACGTATTATTATAACGATTATTATTATACGTATTATTACATGGCGCATATTTTACATAGGGATATATATAACATGAATAAGATCATAATAAACATAACAGGATTCTAGTTTTGTTGTAGGACTGTAGGTCTATTTAATATACATTTGCATGGTTTGTTGCTTATTATAACAAATAAAGTTATTGATAAAAAAGAATGGTTTCAACTACATCATCTGCTAGGTTACAGGTAGGACATACGTCAATGCTTTTCTGCATTAAAACAGGACGAACACCATAATGGACAGAACAATAAAACATGTTGTTCATCCTCTACATAGTCAGAAAGTCAAAACATATTCTTTTATCAACAGTAATGTTAAGACAACGCCAAGTTACAATGCGAATAAGAGCCACGCCACTTCTTAAATCCGCCAGAGCTGTTCTTTCGAGTGTTGCCATTGAAGGACGAAAATGCGTTCCGTTGTTATGCTGTGGTCAGAAGATGCTACAAAGGAGCAGCTTGTTTCCTCTGTCGACCCTGTTGCCAAGAGACCAGTTTCTTGCTATATAACAGTCGTGTTGATGCTACGTGAAGGGTTTCCTTCCTACCTGGGATAATGCATGCTGTACTCAGAAATTATTGTCAGAGTCAATAAAATGTTCCTTGTAGAGATTTTGTATTGTGTTTGGATTCTGAAGAATCAGTTACCTTTGTTTTCCGATCAGCCCAGCTAAACGTTTTCAATGTCTTGTACAAATGTTTGGTAAAACTTTCCCATTGAGGTACTTTAGACGGAAGCCACCTCATATCGCTACTAGTTGGTTTCTCGGTCCCAAGCGTTTTTAAGTGTTGTGTTCAAACAGGGCCAGGTAGATGGTCACTATGTCCATCGTTGTGGTTCCACACCAGATACGGTTATACGCCTGCTACTGAAGTCCACATGTGACATCAAACCAGTCTGTATAGAGTGTGATGAGCTGAACTCAGCAGTGAGCATCAAGAAAAGAATGTTTTTAGCCACTTATCTCGAATGAGGAGGTTTGCTCACAGCATCAGCCCATGCATACCGTCATTGGCGTCCTGATGCCCGTAAGGACAACGAAGCGCGATTGCTTGCTTGTTACCGTTCCGAGTCTATATTATTGACGTCAGGGTTGGAGTATGTTGTAGTGTTGACCGTCCTCCCCCAAAGCCATTATAAAAGTCTGATAAAGCACGGGGGTGGATTGAAAAGGGAGGTGAATTGTTTACTCAACATAATATTTAGCACGCCATAGTGCAATTTGAAACAACAAGCCAATGTGATGCCTCTCTCTAAACTTGAATCCTTTAGATCTTCTGTTGAGATGTATGGCATGAGATGAATAACGACATCAACGGGATTTTCCAAACATTAAAAAGGTAAGAAATGTAAGGAAAACAAACAGTTCCATTTTCAGTTCATCTTGGAGTTGGTCATATCAAGACCATTTACAAGAACGTGTTTCACTATGTCTACAAATTCTGTATTGTGGCATTAACCTCCTTTCTTCTTGCAACGTGTATGCCAGCTCCGTTGGTGGATAATTGGACGAAATGTGACGGTGAAGAACTTGGTCGATGTACCGATTTGCTGCCACATTCCCCTGAGCAAACACCATGTCAGATCTTCATATGTAGGAAATGGCTCCTCACGCCATCGAATCTGTCGACCTGTCGAACGTCGTTCGAAAGTAGGTGGACACGCTGTCATCAGTCTCGGCGTTAGAGACGAAATCGGGCTTCATCGGCGAACCAGAGTCGGCGCCAGGCCTAAATGATGCTGCTCCATCGTATACGTTGTCTCAATACAGGAACAAATACCGATCTTCTGGGTCTAATTCCCTCAGACGCTTCCTGATTGTTGATACCCACCTTAAACGAATACATACCCAAGAGTCTCAACGGCAGTTGCATGTCAATAATGAAGTTGATAGATCTGCATGTTGTGATATTGTGTGGGTATACTGACTCTTGGTATCTCAATTCACGGACGATCTCGTGTTCAATTGAAGTGAGTATACCGATCGTATGAAAGAGATATGGCACCGGTGCTCTGTTGAACATACGAGGATCCAGAGGGGGATACAGGATGCGCACCCACCCCCCACCCCCCTCCCCCCTTTGTCCTGAAAGATTATGTAACGACCATTGAAACTCTCCTGAAAATGAAGTGTGCACCCCCCACTTTCTCAAGAGTGACGCTTAGCTGTCGGAACACACCCACCGGAAATTGGTGCCATTTGCCAACCAGTGTTTGCCCAAGTTCTCGCATGATCTGCGATTGATTCATCTTCACAGTCCTCCCAACTCATCCTGAATGTGTTTGATCGGGTTCGAGTCTGGGGAACAGGAGGGCGTCCAGTAAGACATTACGCGTCATTACTGCGTAGAGTTGTCATCGTGCGAAGCCAGTCCAGGACCATGTAGCTGTATGAATGGCAGAATGGCTGAGGTCGAAACTTCGTCTCAACACTATATGGCAGTTTGAGTCCCTATGGCGACAATCAACTGAGACTGACCGTTGGCTCTCCAAACCATTACAATGCCCGACAATGCAACGCGTGACGACCTCCTGCACCACACCCGTACCCTGATATTGACAAAGCGCAATGTGAAGCGTAACTCGTCACTAAATCCAATCCTTCTCCACTGTGTTCTGGTGATAAAACTGCATCAGGATAGCTAATGGCCGTCATGCTTAGATACATCTGGTGCGGAGTCGATTCCCGATGATCTGTACTGACTCTCTGCCTCTAAAGAATTGTCTGCTGTTGGAGGCCGCAGTCACAAATCTGAGATGACGTAGTTTTGTACGTCACCTTGGTGTAACGTCACACGCGGCGCCCCAGACCTTGAACGATCTGGAACGGTGCACACGGATAACTAGACAGTGTATTGGCTGTTGCCTACCGCGCGGGCCTCCTTTAACCGCTGCATTCGCAGAGTACTCGAATTTTTATTGAACTTGCAATTTTGATGCGCTTTAATGTTCATCACTGTCTGCGTTCCAAGGCCAGCGCGATCGATAACGTGATCACGCGACTCGATGCACTTGATGGTTGTTTCCGCTTTATTCACGTGTTATATAGATAGACAGACAGACAGACAGACAGATAGAAATATAGATATAGAGAGATAAAAAAAATACATTTCGGTCACCAAGCCCATTATAACAGTCAACATGACATTACCTTGTGTATGGCACATTGACAATAAGAAACTAGAAATAATATTCCCTCACCCCACACAACTATTATCAGTAATGTGGGTTTTTCTAATTTTGGTGAGTATATTAACCTTTGTATTTGACAGATCCAGACTCAAATATTTACATGTTGGAATTATTGATGATAGAGGGGTTAAAAAACATCTACTGTGATCAAGTGCAATGACGATGAGGTGGCTTTGTGAAATCATCCCAGCTTCTCAAGGATAGACTCCAGAAAGCTGATATTCCAATGTTAACGTTGATTGTAAATTGATCCGTTAAGTAAGAAGTATGTGCTGTGGTTAGCTTTTCAGTTATAATTGATTATTACTGATTTGTTATTTTGGGCCTAGGTATAAGTTGTAAAGTGCTATCATCCGATATTCACGGGTTGGAATCCTCGATTCGTTCTGATTCTGATTTTTGTTTTGTCGATTCCATAACGTGCTAGTGGGTGAAAAAAGTGCAAGTTTCTTCCACATTAAGATGACATATTTAACCTTAAATTATGTTGACGTGAATTGACTGAACAATGTTCAGCGCAGCGTTAAACGTTTTTCTATCCTTACTGTTATTTTTGTCATTGTTAGTGTGATGGCTATTTCAGCGCTTAGACTTCATATAAATGGAGAGAATGATTTACCTGAATGCCCAGTTGAGCGGCACATCTTCATTCTCGAGAACATCGTTGAGACTTCCCTTAGGACAGTACTCACTGAGCAGACACACATCCGGCACTTCAACACATCCACCCACGAACTTGCACAGATTAGGGTGATCCAGCTCTCTGCAACAATCGAAGTGAAACAATGGTTTAAATGACTATTGATCGCAACCTCTCCAAAATCTCATTGACTCATTTCATCACGTGTTTCCAGAGCATGATGTTACTTGCGAACACCTGGCTTCATAACTGACTACATGCGATCCATTCATAGATTTTAACGGTATTTTGGCTTAAAAATATAAAATAATATCTGTTTCAGAAGTTTATAGAAATGCTTAATCTCTTACGTTAACATTCATCTTTTTTAACATTGAACCCCAAGGATGTTTAATAAGGTATTATGCCAGATTATATTCTTAACTTTTTCTTGAATCTGATGTTATTGTGATGAATTTGATACCTTTCATTCCAAACGTTTTTTCACAATTGATTCTAACCTGCATAACATGTTTTTCATAGCGATTACTCTTTTGACATAAGGTTTATAAATAGTGTCCACTTCCATGTCTATAGAGCTAAATCCACCCAAAATAAATCACTTTTCGCTTTTACCCACTTACGTACTTCCAGCTCAAAGGACTAACTAAAGTAAAGTAGATTCCCCAAGTTATCCACAGACGTATATAGATTGCTGTAACAACTACCTTGACGCAGTAAAGTAGATAGGTAGAGTTCAGACTGTTGGTTTTTTTCAAAGATGTGTTTTAAAGAGATGCGATGGGGTATAATTACTGGCTGTGCTGTACTACTTGTTATTATCAACCAGATCTTAAAACCGGTAATTGATTGTGTATCCATAGCTATTCTGTCTGAGTAATAATGAATGCTTTTAAGAAAATGTTTTATACCTCTAGGCTAAATGTGGTGATTTGTTCTTGCAGACATACGATACCTTTCCTAAAACGGATACCAATGGCTGTTGACAAAATGATAAAAAAAACGTTAAGTAAATGATAAAAGTGGTCTGAAGTTTTTATCTCTCTGTTATTCTGTTACGTATACAAGAAAACCAATTGATCATTGTCCTTTGCGAAATACAATCCTACACAGTGCATCTTTACACCAAAGGTCCTATATCGTATCTGTAGAAAGGTGCAATAGATTTACTGGACTAATCACCATGATGTAACATTATTGTAAGGATACATCATCATGTGCAATGTGTGACTGTGAAATATAATTTCCTTTTCCGTGTAATAATTTCCAGTTTTTTTATGCGGCGAGCGAGGCTGATAAACTTGCATGAGTTGACAGTGTCATTTGGATCGCACCTAGGTACGCGAATGTTAAGAAATATTTGCTTACCAAGGAGAGACAATCGATCGCAATAAGATAAACGTAACTCCGATTATTTTAACGGTTTTTTTGGCATGATAAAATAGCTATGGGTTGCACAGCTTTCGGCAATATTCTAGCATTATCAAGACAGGGAACACCAGAAATAAGGCTCACACAACTGGGAAATCGAACCAAGGCCTTTATTGTGATGAACGTACAATATACTAGTAGCTGCTAGCGATCTCCACCACCCCTATTTGGCATAGTGTTGTTTGGATCGATTTGTGGAAGGGAAGTGTTAATGTTCTTTAACGTACAGGATGCTATATACATATACAGATTTTAAGTATCATAATTATACATTGACATAGTTATATATCAATGATTGAGTCATTTAATAAATAATAACATATTTAACTATTTATAGTGTTAATTGTGGCGTGTGGTTCTCATCGACTGGTGGTTTCCGAAAATACAGAAATGACAAATGTGTCACCTGTCATGTCGGAGTTCGACGTCACCAATGTATCTTGGTGGTTCGCTCATCACGCAAAGACCCGGGTTCGAGACCTCAGCTTTCATCTCACCATTCCCACACATCATCAATGTCATCTATCAATGTATAGATTGTCCATCTTGAACACACAAACTCAATAAAACCAACTGGGCGTTTCGCGTGGTATGGAGAGATGACAACTGATCTCAGATGGTTTCTTAAACATGCACTTGATGTATGTTATTCTGCAATGTTATCATCAATAAATATTAACTTCGGTAATACACTGGCTTGTGCAGTTATTGCTGTGTGTTCAAGGATAACAATAAACAATGGTAGATCTACTGCTTTATACATTACGTTCAATTCACTTTATGTGATTAATTCATTCATTTTATGTAATGCAATAGATCATCTCATAATGTAGGATGGATGTTGATGCACGAATACCATAAAACTATTCTCTTAAAATATTAGGAGAACTACATTTTTAAATTACGATTGAAAAAATTGGGAGATATATCGGTGTTAAAATATTAGGAGGTGTAAATCAATGTCGATATGATAATTCTGAATGTTTTGAGAGTGCATCACCACTTGCATTTCTTTATGATCATACGGGGGGGTTGATCAAAAGGTTTTGAGCCTAAAATACTTCTGATATGTGCATGATATCATACAGTTATTGTTATCATACACATATCAGAAGTATTTTAGGCTCAAAACCTTTTGATAACCCCTCGTAGGTGTTTGCACAGTAATCGTTCTTGAAAGATGATTGGTGTATGAAGTGAAATTTGCATGTGTATGATTTTCATTTTCAAACCAAAAAATCCGGCTAGAAACAAACACTAACAACTGTGTGATGCACGATGATTGTCAAAATTAATGGTCCACAGTGGACCTTCTTGAAGACCGTCAAAATCAAGTATAACACCCCATGTAGTGTATGGGGCTACTGCGTTATGCACGTGCATCCCATACGTTGTGGTTTTTTTGGGGTGGTGCTAAAGAGAAATGGTGGAGCGTTCATAAGATGTTTGTCTTTGAAACGGTTTGTTAATCCTTACACTTGCTATCCACATTGAAAGTTCAGAGGTTTCCCTACTGCTTTTGAACAGTATATGTCCGTGAAGACCTGGGTTAGAATTGATCTCTCAGCAACCCATGCTTGTCGCTTGACGGGGGCGATTGGTCAGGCTCGCTGACGTGGTTGACACATGTCATAGTATCCCAGTTGCGTATATTCATGTTCATGATGTTGATCACAGGATTGTCTGGTCCAGTCTGGATCATTTACAGACGGCCACCATAAAGCTGGAATATTGCTGAGAGCGGCGTTTAACTAGGAACAAACAAGCACATCCAAAAAACTAAACAAAACAATACGAACCTGACTGTTTTCACTTCAACTCGTATGGCTTTCGTGATAGCAAAAGTATTCTTCCGTATTTTCCTGACGGCAATCGTTCGTCCATCGCTGAAAAGAAAATCAAGAAAAGTGAGGAGAGTTTAAGCATTTGTTAACACACAGGAAACAGCTCGTACACACGTATTTTCGAGAGGCATCCCCTAGTGACAAACTACGTAAAACAAAGTAAGAAAATAGGAAAAAAAGACATAACAAACAGAGACATGTGGGATTACTTGTAAACACGCAGTGACGAACTCGTTCAAACGCACTTCCTAACACTAAATGATAAAAAAGGTAATGTTTTCGATAAAAGTTTAAATATCATTACCGTGACGTAAAACCCATTTCACCTTGCCCATAGGACTTGATCCAATAGACACTCACAGTGGTGTTTGATAGATGTAAATGAAAATTGCTTGGAATGTTAATTCTACGGAGTGTATTTATCTGTAAGCATGTAAATAACATGAAACTCGATAATGGGGACATAAACTCGCACTGCATGAAGATGGACGGTTTCTCTCCGTGTGTCGCTAAAAAAGTGAAAACGATACTCACTAGAGCGCCGTGTTTGCAAATACTTGTCTCCGATTGGCTGACTGGGACATTCCTTGTAAGCTTTCCGTGTAACTTCCGGTCTGTACACTGATCATACTGCCAAATGCACCCCGTAGACCACTCTCTGTGAAACAAATAGACCTTACATTCTACAGTGCAATAACACTAACGTTGTCAGGATGACAGTTATTATGGATGTCAACTTCATTATTATGAGGAACACAACGTTTCGGAGTATATTCTCACTTATGAAGGAGTAAGGATATACTTATGAAGGAGTAAGGATATACTCCGACACGTTGTGTTCCTCATAATAATGAAGTTGACATCCATAAAACTCTCTTCCTTATGTGTATCACTTCTAAATACCATTCTAAGACCTAATAACACTGTCTCACTATAAACGCCTAGCATACACCTATATGTAGAAAATACAATTATTACCGATTCACGGATAACGGAAGAGTTTATATTTTAATTGCTAATTTGTTCATTGTTAAAACAACAGAGATCCTGAAAAGTGATACATATCTGGATTATCCGATGTTAATCGTACGCAGCCTGTAGTAACTCGGGTTCATTTTCCTCACCACTAACAACCACCAGAGCTCAATAGGCCAGGACAACGCAGTATTTTCTTTAACGTATTGAATTAACCATCATTACCGTTCATCCGTGTGTGCATGCATGCGTGTATGTATGTATGTATGTATGTATGTATGTATGTATGTATGTATGTATGTATGTATGTATGTATGTATGTATGTATGTATGTATGTATGTATGTATGTATGTATGTATGTATGTATGTGTGTGTGCATGTGCATGCATGCACGCATGTATGCGTGTATGCGTATATTATGTGCGGTTGTATGCTGTTTTGCATATGTGATTATATGTTTGTTTGTATGTATGTTTGTTGTATATATGTTATGTATGTATGCATACCTGTACGTGTTAACTTCAAATGTATACGATTATACGTGTGCTGATATTTGTTGGTTCACAATGTTTTTATTGATTTAATATAGTCTCCCATAACCCAACGGGTGGTTTCTGTACTATTAACTTTTGTACAAAACGCATGCATTTTATGACAATGTACAGAAAGTGAGACTCAAATAAACATTATCTCTCTCTATATATATATATAGCATTCCAGCTATATTTTATTGCTTTAGTTGTATGGACATGTCCAATGAATACAGATAAATTTGGTCAATTCGGAGTGTACCATTCACAGTGACATCGTCCGTGTTAACGCAATTCCAGATTAACTAAAATCGTTCAAAAAAATTTAAATCTTGGGAATTTCCCAAAATATTCCTCTGAACTGTTGTGAAACCAGGGTCCGAACTGACGGAGTTCTACTGTACAAATAACACATCTGGTGTTGCAATAGTGTGGACTTTGTGCCAGATTGTCAACCAGCTGATCAGATTCCAATTATATCCAGTACATGTACCGACCACACCTTACACAAATCTTCCTGTAATGGGATCACGACATGTACGTGTGAATGTGTATCTTACATGTATGTTCTACCTAGTCTCTTGCATTGCGAGTCGCAGAAGGAGTGATAAATAGAACATCCGGAAATTGATCATTTTCATGTTGTCGTGAAGTAGCTATCTCAGCACTGCGGGTTTGCGGTGCATGTCTGACGCGATATCTTGGCAGACACACAGGTAATAGCGTTTAAGGCGTAATGATTCGTGTGCAGTGCTGTGCCAAGTGCGGTGCTGGACAGTGTGGCGGTGTGCAGCGGTGAGGCGTGCTGTAGCGGTGTAGCCTGAACCGGTGATCTTGAGTAACGTGATGCAAAGAGATGTGTTCTGGAGTACTGTGATCCGGACATAAGTGATCTGGTGTGGTGTGCTCTGGAGAGGTGTGATCGGGAGTGGAGGGGGTGCAGAGCGGTGTAATGCGCAGTGGGTTGATCTGGAGTGGTGTATTCAAGAATGGTGTGATCAGGATTGGTGTGATGTAAAGCGGTGTAATCCGAAATGGGTGATCTGGAGTGGTGTGATACAGAGCGATGTGAGTAGAATGAGAAGAATGATATTTCACTCATACCTTCAAGAATCTGCTCGTACGGTATAATCCAACTTTCATCCCACAGTAGTTTGCTCTGTTTGTACTGGAAATACTGAAAACGAAATCTATACTGTGAATAGAAAGTTAAGCGCCACCCAGTATATTTTGCCAATATAGGTTGTCTCATAGGAAATCTTTCAGAAAAAAACAACAACTATCATAATTTGGTTTAGTACTTTTACTTAAAAAACAACAAAAAAAACATTATGGAAAATATCTTTTACTTTAAACAGGATGTATGCGCTTTTGGAAAACATGCATTTTGTTAAGGTTACCTTCTTTTGAAAAGTGAAAATCAGAAATGACTGTTATATGGTCACATGATTGTCATTTTTGACAAGTGAAACCTAAGTTTAATATTGTTGTATAAGCAGAATAGGAATAGTTATTTTGCTTTTAAAAGCAGTGCCATCATATCTTTAACAATACTTCCTTTAATTGTAAATACAAATGATTATGATATCCCTAAATCAGTGATCTAACCAGATGACCCTTCTCTAAATATGGATTGGTCTTCCCTATATTTTAGCCCAACAATTCCACAGCTTCACATCTTAGTTTTGAAATAGGCTGGCGCTTAGCCTTTCTCGGTATATATTTATGTACAGATTTCAATTTGCTTTACTTTGGTTTAACCCTAATTAACACTCAATTGAGTCCTGTCAAATTCTCGATAATTAATATCAGACTACAATATTCATCAGTAGTACGAATAACTTCACCGATAACGTACAACTAACAGGATGTAAGACGTTCTAACATAACTGCAAATTACATGAAATGAATGTGATGAAATAAATCAATTTAAATTAACTGTTTACCCCAACGATACCCAGGATTACGGCAACGATTATGACGACAAACACGCCAATGATGGCGATCTGCCAGCCTTCCAGAGGACACACGCCACAATCCTTCGGGCATGACGAACAGTCCTCCCCCTCCAGACCCTCACACCGGAAGTCGCCGCAAACTGTAGTTAAATGATAAAGAAACACATTGATATCTTTTAATCCTGTATAGCGCTGCTAATACCATGGTCTTCAGATCCATTAAACTAAGATTCAACTTTCGTTGCGAAAAAAACGGTTTCTTTTATCCGATGACATATACTACTTGAAAGGGTAGCGTTATCTCTCTGCAGTTTAAGAATATGGTGGATTAAAATATTATTTGTCACATCCGACTGTCTTTCACGTACAATATGCACAACTGGGTTCAATCATTCAGCAATTTATTAATTTGAAACTTGCAACGGACATAGACTGACTGGATCTGAATAGAAATTATTTGCTTATCTGGAAATGTCCTTTGAAACTTTAATCATATACTGTCTTATGATTGTGGAAAGGGCGATGTTTTGTGTAAATGAAACATGTTTTTCATTAACAGTGTGATATGATCATTAATATCACTACACAATAGATTTCCCCAATTCGGCGAATAAAGGTCCTTCATGTAACCTGTATGTTTAACCGAGTTTGACATTAGAATTTCCTTTGCATATTACTACCGTTGCTCAGTTCCTTTGAAATCGAACCAGTTTCTTTGGAGTCGTGCTTTATATGTGAGGCGAATCAATGTATTAATGAATTAATGCGATCGGACAAAACGAAATGTTCTCTTCCATATTATAGCTGTACTCGGATTATAAGCAAAACCGTGTTAATGATACTCTAATTCAATGTCCTTTGCTCAATTATTTATCATGAGCATATGTAAAAATGTACCAGATACCAATTGACATATAGAACTTCAATACGTTGCTGTGAAAGACAAAGAAAAGTATCCTCCTTTTAGTGTTGAAATCAATACCGGAATATCGAACACTGTTGTTGCGGAATAGAGTCACAAATGCTGAGTCATTGTATGTATTATCGTATTATTCCGCAAAGAGGCTTATATTACCTGTCAGGGGATACCAGCAAAGGGTTCGAGAAATTTAAACTTACATGCAGGTAGTCTTCCGCTGGCTGCACACGTTTTCTCAAGGTCAAACATACGTTCAGATAGATCTAATACAAAAATCGATTTAACTATAAAAACATAAACGATATGAACGATATGACATTTTTATCATGCGTAAATGTCTTTAATCGTTAACTAGTGATGATACCTGTTCTTGGTAGGACTTTGAGTGTTTTTTCAACCGCAACATGCATTTTGGCCACTTTAAAATGCGCAATGACCGATGTGTCTCCTTGGGAGTATAGGCCTTCAATCGTGCTCGTCCAGTTCCCTACGTCCACGGGGCCAACCATGACGACACTGTGTGTGAAAATATCCCCCTGAGGAGGGGATCCATGGGCCACAGAGGCCGTTGTTGACGATGTCTTTCTCGTCAAGAGGGCAGGAGTGGACATTGACGTGGTGGATGCAGCAGTTTTCAGTATTGGCAGCGGATGGATCTGGACAAACAGCCGTCCTACACCACGTCTCGGCATCTCCCGCATTGCTGACGATGAAACAGAATGATGTTCAATGAAACAGAGTTCAAGCGGCGTACAAATTGTGGTGTAAACAATTTGAGACTGATTTGTCTCCAGCTTGGACGTTTATGTTTGCACGTCATTATGAAGGAAGGGAAACAAGAGAATTGGAAAAACAGTATATTCTAAAACGATGTTGCAATCTTAGCGGGCAATGTCAGTATGCCTTTGCCTTATTTTGATACACGAATATAAAACTAATTCTAGTAATTATAAGAGTGTCAATTGTGTCCTGGGTAATTTCAAGAAAATGTATTATGTGTTTTCAGACTTTGTTTGTCAGACTTTTCATACGTTCATCGTCAATGAAACCTTATTTTGTAGAGGTATTCATTAACGCTGATTACCTAACCCACAGTTAGTTTGAATGAAAGGGATTTCTATTGCCTTGTCACAGTGGTAAAGCCACATAAACACAACAATAGACAAACATACACCCTTCTACATGTTGTGTATTTCTAATGAAGCTGCCACAAACCCTTTTTTGTGGCACTGTACATATTGTATTGGCAGAATCCAAAAGAATTACCATGTCCACAAAATATGTTACATCAAAGTAAACTTGAAAACATTTTCTATAATTTAATGGTTAAGGAAATGGCATTTACAAACAAACCCAAAGCTTGGGCCCCTGTGAGGAAGGCTGGACAATTTGTACCTCACCTGAATCCGGTGCCGTTAGCCTGGTCAAATATGTTGTTTGTGACTGCCCAGGGATAAAATGCTGAAGCAATCAGTAGCTCGTAAGTAACATTGAAAGGTTCCTGCGCTTTTATGTTGGCCGGCGGGGGTATAATCCACCTTATGTTTACACCTGAAACAAACAGAACATGTATTATACACATAACGATCACCGTTGTCTGTAAATAATTAAGTATGCGTCAATGATTTCACAAGGGCACAAACTACCCCCGTAAGAAACCCAGAGAAACATTGTGTTTTGTGTCTATTGTGTGCTTTGTCATACGCCTCTTTTAGCAATATTCCAGCAATATCACGACAAGTGAACATCAGAAATGGACTTCAATAATTTCAACCATGTGGTGAATAGACTCCGGGTTTATCACGAGCTAACACTTTAACAACTGCGTTTCCTTATTCTCTCTTTTTTTGAAGGGGCGGTCAGATAGCCAGGTGGTTAAGCCGTTCGAACGTCACGCCGAAGACCTCGGTTCGATTCCCCACATAGGTACAATGTGTGAAACGCCATGATATTGCTGGAATATTGCTAAAAGCTGCGTAAAACTAAAATTCACCCACTGACTCTTTTTTATAAAAATTAACAAGAAACCATGTATCTTCATTTATTACAACATCTTATTCACACGGTGATATCAGGTTGTTTAAGTTTAGCTATTTACGACAAATAACGAGGCTTTGTTGCGCCACTTCAAAGTAATTTGACACGAGTTCAGATACATTATTATATCCTTGTACGCTTTTGTCCAGTGTTTTAATGTAGGCCTTTAATCAGTGGAAATCGCTTATGGAATGGCCTTGACAATCTGCTGGCAGGACCGTATGATGTACCGTTTATCTATGTTAGTTTATATAGCCGTACAGGATAGTGAAAGCCGTATCCATATATCAGAGGCTGACGTCATTCAAAGCTTCTCCAGAATTAGCATCAGAAAAGCAAAAGGACCTGACAACCTTGACGGCATTGGGTTGAAGGAGTGCAGACTTCAACTTTGTACAGTTTTCACTAGATTGTTTCAATTGTCAGTGAATACACACCTTACTCCTTCGGTCTGGAAAACATCAGAAATTGTACCAGTTCCTAAAAAGACACAACCTAAAGAACTCAACGACTACAGGCTAGTTGCTCTCACATCTATAGCAATGAATACTGGACCCGCTTCAGTTCGCCTACAGGTCAAGGAGAGAAGTTGTTGATGCCACACTGTCACTCCTTAATTCCTTAATAATGTCTATAAACATCTAGAGACACCTAAGTCATACATCAGGATCCAAAAAACAAAGGAACTGATAATTGACTTTCGGGGTAAGCCCACAGAAATGCTTCCAGTGATAATCAACGGTGAATGTGTTGAGACAGTGTCGGAGTACAGTGGAAGCTGTCAAAACCGGCAGTCGTCCAATCCGGCAAGTTGTCAACACCGGCACAAAATCTCAGTCCCGTCCGTGGCTAGTGCAATTATCATTATTTAAAAGCTCTGCAATCCGGCAGCTGTAATTTCCGGATCTCGGCATTAAATGAGCTGCCCGAATATGGGTTTATACTGTTATCAGCGCTGTCTAATCTGGCGCGTGGGAAGAATCGGCTGGATGTGTATTGCCACCATTTAATCTTGCGTTGAAACTACATGGTTGCCGACAAAGACATTTTAATCTGAGTGAGTTGACATGTTTTATTGTGATAGAACAATGTATACTAGGCACATAAAGAAACTGCGCATACAAAAATTTAAAATATAAATTTATCAAACCTGTGTAGACACATAAGGATTTACACTCAGAGATTAGTGACATGTATCCAACATGCATGCACGTGCCACGTTCCGTGACGTCAGTGGGTTCGTCCTTGAGACGTGCAATACGTTGTTGCACGTGCATTCCGGGAAAGAGAAACAGAGCAAATGAATGCCACACAATACTGTCACTTTGGAAAGCTCAACCCCTGCCCTTGCGATCGTTCAAAAAATTAAACGGCTATTGAAACGCATAGCATGCCAAGGCTCACGTCTGAACAACGTCATGAGGCCATTGGAGTGGTCCGTGGGGGAATGTCTCAACGACAAGTGGCTGCACATTTCCACTGCCACCGGAACACCATTTCTGCACTGGTGAGACGCTACCAGAACACAAATGACGTCATCGATCGGCCACGTTCTGGACGTCCACGTGTAACAACGCCAAGACAGGACATATGGATAAGGGTGACCCATCTTCGCCACAGGTTTCAGACTGCAGTGATGACTGCCCGAACCATCCCAGGACTTCGCCGTATCCACCCCAACACAGTTCGACAACGTTTACGTCATCACGGGATTAGACCACGACGTCCCGCCATACGGCCTATCCTGACACAACGTCATCGACAAGCTCGCCGAATGTGGTGCCGAAATCATGTCCGCAGACCCTTGTTTTGGTGGAGAAATGTTGTTTTTACAGATGAGTCCAGGTTTCCCATAGTGATGGACGTCAACGTGCCTATAGACGCGTGGGAGAACGTTATGCACAGGCCTGTGTCTTGGAGAGGAATCGCTTTGGTGGTGGTTCCGTGATGATTGCGTGATTTCGTTTGACCCCTGTCTCGCTTGTGGACTCGTGACTTCATTGTGATTGGCTTTTCAATTGAAATTCTCCCGACTTGTTATGGTCTCATGATCCCTCCATTAAAGTTTATATGTACCTTTGACATTGTTATCGTGCTTATCAACTGGGATAATATTTTGATAATGCACAGTTTCTTTATGTGGCTAGTATATATGAGAGTGACAAAACTTGTTCACTTCTAGTCGGAGGTAACCGTGTCATCTGTACAATCCGGTATGCTGTCTAATCCGTATCTAATCCGACGAGTGCCGGTTTAGACAGCTTCCACTGTATAAGTATCAAGGAACCTTCATTGACTCCAAGCTGCACTGGAACTCTAACACTTAAGCCCTATACAAAAAGTGTCAACAACGTCTTCATCTCATGCGTAAACTGAGATCTTTTAATGTTAACCCATCTGTGATGTCATCTTTTTATGCAGCATTTATTCAGCGTATTTTAACATTTTGCTTCCATTGTTGGTACGGGTCTCTCTCAGTTCATCTCAAATCTAAAATACACAAAATTGTTAACACTGCAAGTAAAATCGCTGGAGTCAGATTTGAATGTTTATCATCAATATATGAGCGGCAAATCGTGAATCAAGCTGTCAAAATTATATCTGACCGTACTCACTACTTAAATTCGTAATACAACCTCCTCCCTTCAGGCCGCCGCTACAAAGTTCCAATTGTGAAATCTAAGAGAGCCCGTACATCCTTTATTCCAAGTACCACATCTCTCTTAAACAAATGTGAAGATACCTAAATCAATTAATTTATGTAAATATGTTTTGTTTCTCTCTAATTTGTCAGTAGCTCTGCTGATGTAACACAAATTCCTGAAAAGGCTTTAAAGTATTATTCTATTCTATTCTATTCTATATGTATCTTATAATGTCATTTATACATACAATAAGTAAGACGACAAGTTACGAAAGTATCGGACAATACACGTTTCTTGACAGATTTGTATGCTTTCCGTGTAGGTTCAGGACGTTTGTTTCGAGAATTAAAGCAAATGCCATTTACAGTTCACTAAAAGAACACAAAAGTTTACTTTTTAGAAGAGGGCATTTTGGCAAGCAGTAGGCATCACCATAGATACCAGATGGAGTTTTCCCCTCGGGGTCTATTTCTTTCTGCGAATGAAATGGAATTCTGTTCAGACTGGCAAAATATAACGCATTAATTTGACCAAAATGTTTCCCTGACAATGATGCAATGTTTCTACCTGAACTAGAAGGAGACCGTTAAAACCGCTAGTCCTCTATTCGACTTTAAAAACTTGTCGTTTGATCAGGGTACCGGCGTCGATGTTGGACATTTACATTATTCAAGGGCTTCATTAAGTTCTCAAAACGTCTTATACCAGACATGTTGAGAGCTGTTCAGGTTTGCTTGCGTGAACACTTGGCTTGCCTCCACATGGATTTGTAACATATCTCGCCGATGGAATAGGCTACCTATAGTTACATTTGTACAATAGATTCTGCTTTCAAATGAGAGCTCTTATGATTATGAAAATGTTTTATCTCTTTAATTACGCTTACAGAACGTAACAATAAGCTCATTTAATTAAATCAATTCAATTTTTCATACATCAAACGAAATTTTAGAGATAGTATGTGTAAAATACTGAGGCCATAACTTTTTAAAATTAATAACGTTATTATTCGTTAAAAGATTATTGACTTTCACTTCTGTGTATTACATTCGGAATCTAATTAGTTTGATTGTTTCAAGTTCAAGTAGAACCAAAAAATGCCCGTTGGCCACTTGAGTGCTGATATCAATGCAATTAAGTCCATACCAGTATAAATACATCGTAGAAAGACCGGCATATATTCTTTGATCATTGCATTTATGTAAAACATTTCTCTTATATTTCTATACTCATGTACTTGTAGATAGTTCATCACCATGAAATTGTATGATAAAATACATCCTGACTTAATGAGTCTTGGGATACATATAACCTGTCGTCAAATATCCACGAGATCAAAAAATGTGAATACGTCTATAATCAATGCAATATAACCTGTAGATGTGCGTCAGCGTGATGCCATTACACGTCCCTATTGTTCCATCATCTTGATTATCAGTATCGGCATGACAGAGCACGCCATTTCTTCGTTTGGTATAAGGTGTCTGTTCAACCATTAGACAATTGGCTTAAAATTACGGTCATTATCTTCCACAACACCTTTGCAATATCCATGGATCAATATTATGAAATAACACAAGCTTTCTCCACAGTATAAAACAGGCTATACAGCATTCATTGTATTTACTTTACGTTTTTACGAATTCTAGAAGGTTATTATTGATTTTAATTACTGAGCTAACCTTTTCGCATTATATACTAACTTTTGAAAAAAAGTATCAATATTATAAATAGACACCGTGATCAGTTAAAGCTACAAGGGATAATAACGGTTGCAGTACGGGAACAGGTAATCCATAGTTTATATGGCTATCATTGTTCATCGTGGAGCATAGTATGTTTATTCAGGCTCTACGTTTTCTACCTTTT